AGACCGAGACCCTCCTCTCCGAGATGCGCGCCGCGAACCCGCGTCTGCGCGCCGAATCTGTCCGCCCTGCCTTCGTAGACAAGGCCGGCCACAAGGCCGTCGAGACCTATGCGCCCAACGCCGGCGCGCTGTACAACGCCATGAATATGTTCCTCGGCCCCGTGATTCGAACAACTATGCCGTCTTTTGTCAGCCCGACAGAAGTTTTGGGCAAATTCATGAGCGAAATGGCGATGGGCAAGATGGATGACGGACTTGCTGCGGGCGGGAAGGGGATTATTACGCTTAACGGCGGATTGAGGGTCGTGGAGAATGTTGGCTTCAGGAGGTTGGCTGGTTTGCAGTGAAGATACCCCGTGAGATATGAATCCCAGTGCCGACGTGTAAAGTAGCTTTTTTGTTGTAGTGTTGCGTTCCATTGGCAGTTGAATTATGACTCACCATACCGGTTCTCTAAATGTTTAGGGTTTACACTGATTTGCGCTCGCATCTTTGGACATGGACGATCAACTTGTCGCATTGCAAGACTCCAACACTATATAATGCGTAATCTGGGGCCAAGTCGCCAGCCGTAACCACTCATTGGATCCCACAGGGATCCCCTGGCTCAATGGTCTAGTGGTATGATTCGCCCTTCGGGTTTACCAATCCTTGCGCACAGCGTGAAATTGGGCGAGGTCTCGGGTTCGAATCCCGATTGAGCCCCTTCGTTTTGCCAATTCTTGATATATCGTGTCAAGGTCGATTTGTTTTTGGCTGATGGTCATTCGTGTATGTTTGCGAGCGACGGCTTCGTCGCTTTGACTTGGTTGTGGCCAGATAACCCCTTTTGTGGTCTAGAAAGACTGAAGCTAACACGAAGTTAAGGCACTCATGTCGAGATTGTACTTGGCTGACATGACACGGCAACATTCGCCAAACAACATTAGTGGGTGACACGATGTGCGACAATGGGTGGTCAGGCAGTATGAAGTGGATGCGGGCTAGCTTATGTATTGTTGTCGCCATGCGAGCTATCTGGAGCCGGACTCTCACTTCGGCATGCTTGCCAACGACCCCAAAGCCCCTTCCCATATCAAACGAATGCTAGAGGGTAAGACGCCCCGATACCAGGAAGCCAAGACGCCCGAACGCCGAAATACGAAATCCTCAAGACTTTGAGGCCGGATCTCCTCTGGTCGTTGTAACCTTTCTGCCGTTTCTTATGATATCATCCCAGCATGCCTTTCTCCCTATACCTATCCCCGTATTCCGTTTTGTCGTCCTTGACCTAAGAGCTCCCAAGTACGTCTCGACTCAAGGTAGGAAAGCGATGTTCAACATTCGGACCAATCTAAGACAGATGGTTGGCAGCTGGGCGGCGTGTGTTGCTAGCGAATACGCTCTAGCTGCATCGCTTGGTCGGCCCATGTAGTAAGTAGCAAGGAGATGTAGTATGCCTTACACCATGTAAGCAATATAGCTGCTGTCTGGTGCAACCGGTGAAGATTCTGCCGAGTAGTCCTCGTCACCTTCATCGTCCTCATATGGCGCGGGAATATGGAAGACGGTACCGTAGGCGGGAGGCGGGGTGTTCCCTTCGAAAGCAAGAAGTGGTCTCGCAGTAGAATCCTCGCGCTCATATCGAGGGAGCGGCTCCGATTGATCCCTAAAGCTGCGCAGGTTGGGCACCGTTCGTAGGTTGTCTCCGTAGTAGTATTGTGGTGGATTGTACCGGGCATCAAGGTAGGCCACGAGAATGTTGGTTCCGAGCGCTATGCTTCCGAAGAAGAGGAAGCTGAGAAATATCAAGAAGAGCGCTTGAGGGAGGGACATATCCCAAGGATCGCCGTGCATGTCTTCCATGGCCTTGAGTATGGAGTCGGAGATGCTGAAGTCGTGGATGGCGAAGAAGTAGTCAACACGTGCCTCCGGAATGTACATTTTGATGTCTGGTTCAAGTGATGATTTTGTTCTGATGTGTACTTCAGTTGCGCTCAGGCCTGATGACACGACTTGGTGTGTATGGCGAGAAAGCGTGGTGTTGTTTTTCTCAAGCAGGTTAGAACAGAATTGTGGGTGCATCCTCTAGGAGATTGCATCCAGCCAGGTAAAAGCTCGTCTTTGGGTGGGAGCGTGCAAGCGATTTATTCTACAATTCCTGGTCTTTCTCCGGAAGGAGACAATTAAGCTTCACGATTACCGTTTTTGCCAAACTAAGGTGGCTTCTGGATGTCCTCAGGACCCGTCTCTCCCTGCCAAAGAAGCACCTTGATACCACAACGTAGGACAAGCTTCTCTCCCGCCCACGGCTCGTCCATGTACGAACACCTGGAAAACCAGAGCGTTGTGGTCAGGTGGAAATGCAGCATTACTCAGTGACGAATGAGAACGACCCGAGTAGGGGACAATGATCGAAATCTTCAACTGTACAGGATACGAAATGGAATAAATTCGTTTCACTATTCCTTTCATTAGCAAGCACTTCCATACTTACTTAATCAGCTGAAGTACATGTACGCAAGATATCCCTTGTTAAAATGACATCACTCTCATTCGGCAGATCATCTGCTCCCTCAATGTTGTCCACCTTTCTTTACGCCTCTGGCTTTCTTCCATAAATATTGTAACTGTCATGAGATGTCAGCTAATACCAATGCCAGGACCAATTATTACTAACACTGTCCAGTACCCATGAATAGACCTGTCTTTCAGGTCCTTCCGGACATCAACCAGGAAGGCCTGCACTTCTTCCTTCGTCCAGTTGTGTATGCGAGTAAAAGCGGCCATGGTGAAGCCCTCAACACCAGAAGACATATTCTCGTGGTTCCACATGCCCAATTCCTTATACTCAGAGTCCCTAGCCCATGCGTTCGAGGGCCATTTGTCGCTCTGGATCGCAACATCAACGAATCCGACCTCTCTCATCATCTCTGCAAGCGGTTCGATGTGCTGGTAGGGCCTTCCAAACTTGATGGATGCATCGTATATCAGGTCGACACATCTGGAGACAGCATGTTCCGGCTTCAAAGTACCATCGTCGGACTTGACGAACACGTCGTACTCCTGCAGCTCTAGAAAACCTCCCGATTTGAGGTTGCTGCAAAAGCATGAGTCAACAGGCATATTTCACTTTAGTCTGGGTATTCGACGAGGGCTTCTTACTCAAAGCACTTTTTGATGTAGACTTTCCAATCAGTGATTGAGGAGTTCATCGCCCTTGTGTGGATATAATCGAACGGCTTCGAGTAGACCCAAGGCTCTTCTAGGTCATCAATCTCGAACTTGACATTAGGAGGGATGCTTGAAGGTGTCAGTGTCTTGAAACCAGGTGCTAATACAGTCCCAAGTATGGCTGCTAGTTGAACTTGACTTTTATACCAGGTACTTACAACTGTGGCATAGACTGAGAGAGATCAATGCCGAGGACCTGTCTCTGCCATTAGCTTTACACCATGAAAAGCATCTATCAGTACTTACTTCAGCTTCAGGGTGTTCCTCCCCAAAGTCAACTGCCCAGATTCCAGTGCCAGTGCCGACATCAAGGACCCTCTTCACCTTTGAGTCGGGGGCGTTCGGAGGTGCGAGACCCAGCTTGTTATCCAAGGTCAGAAGGAAAAGGTTGTGTTGCAAATCTGGCTTGCTTATCAGCTTAGTTGAGGCCAGTTGAACAGAAGGACTCACCCAGTCTGTCAGATTCCGATGCGTCATTGGGAATATGATATTCTGCGTCATCGACGTCAGGTGTGCTCTTATTGCCGATGTTCCATCGGGTCAATACTCACGGCCGTCTTTGTACTTGTGGTACGTTCGACCATTTTCGATTCGATAATCAAGAATGGAGGAGGTGACACTCGTGCTTGATGAAGCGATGCTCTGTTATTGATCATTAGCTTGACCATGTCGTCTAGGATACAGTCACCAAGACTCGAACTCACCTCCCTAAGCTCCGACGCGTTGTCATTGGGGGCCTAATTCGTGTCAACGATTGAGAAGAAATGAGGTCCTGTGTCTTTCACTGTACATCTTGGGGAACGATGTGTCCCGGGCCTTCGACGGTGGCCAGGTTCGTGGCCGCAGGGGCTGCGCTTATGGTGCTGCTGGACATAGTCGGAAACGGAACAAGAACAAAGGCGTCGAAGGTTGAGATCAGGTCTTTCACCCTGAACGAAATGGCAATGTTTCCTTAAGAGTTTTCTTTTCGATTTAAGGATGAGGAGATCACAACAGTGATACGATTAGCACGTGTGCACAAGAGGCTTGATTAATTTCCATTTACCCCTCTCCTTGGCTGGAGAAAAGTATGCATGTTGGCGGCGAAGATACTATTCACGGCGTATGCAAGGTTCGTAAACATGGAACCAACGCACGAATCTGGACGAATTGGTTAGGTAGAGTACGACGTGGAGCTTGTATGGTGCCATGATGCAGGGTATAGCGTATATTTATAATTATGCACTGCACAATTGTTTGTGAGTGCGTTGGTAATTCCATCACTTTTCATAATTACGAAAATAACTCTTCAAGACAAGAGCAGACTGGAAGATAGCTCTGTGATTTGACGTTCATGGTAGTATGTAGATTGAGCTTCACCGCAAGTTGCAACAACTGGGTGATGTCATATAGTCGTTGGGATTTAGAGGTTCTCAAGATGACAAGCACGGCCGATTTCGATCCGGCAGGGTCGCCTCTAAAAAGCGAAGTATCCAAACGGGTGCATCTTCTTAGGGTTACTGTTTCCAAGATTGAGACAAACTGAAATCTTCTTCAGTACTATCACCATAATCAAAGACCTCATTAGGACAGGTAACCTCAGATTGGTTCCACTTTGTCTTCCTCAGGCCCTCTTCCAAACGCAGAGTAGCTAGGCCATGTTGTCAGCTTCGAGGCGGGACAGCAGCAACGCCTGAGAGACAAGAACGACTTACATTGGCAAGTCGGCATGGATATGCCGATCTCTCAAATGTTTTCGCCCATCAATGAGAAGCAGGTGAACCTCCTCCTAGGTCCAATGATGTGCCCTACCTTAGTGAGAGGGGCCATGGTAAAAGCCTCAAAGCCTCGAAGCCGTTGCAGAAATATTCGTTGTTCCAGATTCCCAGTTCCTTGTATCTGGGATCTTTAGGCCAGGGAGTTGAAGGCCACTTGAAGGCATGCGTTTCCTAGCTAGTGTAAGTGATTTAATGCGATCCAAAGTACAGTCAATTGTACGCTTCTCACTGCCTCTCTGTTTGACCGGATTCAATTATGCGGGACCACGGCGAAGATACTCTTTTCAGCGAGGAAACGTTCGCGAAAAAGAAAGCAACGCGCGTGACACAGCGAATCTCCCAGAGAGAATGGAGCTCGTACAATAACATCATGCAGTTGGTTGTGATGTTTGATGCATGGCATGGTGGCTCGTGCATGGAAGCCATGTCGTTGGATCACATCACAGGGACATTTCCGACAATTACCAGCTGCAGCAGCCTTTTTGCTTCGTGGTACTTTCCAAAACTTTGACGCATACGGATGATACGTTGCGGCTCATTTGGATGTGGCTAATGAGGCTGAGAGTAGGTGTCGTTGCAGGAGGCTCGGGAGGGGGTCCCTTCTATAATAGTTCATGCATACTCGTACACCCAGAGTTCGGACGATCGGGCTTGGAAGGCGACTGGATCGCGCAAGCAAGTTGATTCGTTGGGTGTGCGCCATGCAATGAAGCCCGAGACGGATTTTGAGCATGACAAAGAGGGAACAGCACGAGCAACTGGGGGGCATGGAGTATTTCGAAGCAGCTCGTTGGCAATAATCAGCTAGGTAGGGTAATCACACGAATGTGTCAGTTTGAAGACAAGCTTTCAGCAGGACCCATCCGGAATTGTAGACCAGCGGGGCTACCCCGATCCATCATCTCAAAGTCCCGCTATTTGAGTTCAGCTAAACCGTCGGGTTGACAGTTGCAAGACTGGCAACCCCGGATTCGAGACTTACTGCAATGGCGTATACGATTCAGCTCGCCCAATCATCATTGATCGTTTGGACCAGACTATCCTACAGAGAAAGGATTTGGTTGCTGATGGTCTGCTCCCGACGCGCTCCACAACGGCTTCGGGAAACCCTGGGCGGCCTATTCCATACAGATACAGCATTTACCGAGAATCGGGAGCGACTAACGTCCCGAGCCGTCGGCCGTGCAGGCCAGAATCGTAATGCCGCCAATATCGAGCCCCACTCGACGCGCTTCGTCTTCTGACCGTGTAAGCCGTCACTGAACTGCCGGGAGATTCTAGTCAAGACTGAGATCGAGTAATCGCTGGCTTGGAGAAATATATAAGCTAAAGATCTTGGTCTTAAAGGTCTTGATCACACCAACACAATTCTTTTGATTCAACGATAGCTTCATCAAACCCTTAATTCCAATAGGCCAATCGTGGAAAAAGCGCCAGCCATGACCCTCATAGACCAACAAACCAACGGCGATTCTGCACACGGCGGTGTCCCCAAACCAACGCACGAAAGCACTTTCTTAGATGGCGTGCTCCGATGGCCATCTACAGGACTCAAGGTTCTCATCGTTGGTGGTGGGCCTGCCGGCCTACTGACCGCTCTCGAGTGCTGGAAAAAAGGGCACGATGTCGAAGTTGTGGAGAAGAACAGCAAGAACTCTACAATTGGTGAGCCATATTTTTGATACATGAAGCAGAAATAACGGATAATCAGAAATAAATGGACTAATTGATACTCGGACACAGGCGATGTGATTTTCATTGGACCATCTGCTCTCGCAACTTTCAAGGACTACCCGAGCATGCTCGAGGAGTATCACCGCCAATCGTGGGATGCGTTCTGTTCATACCGAAGACTTGATGGTCAAGAAGTCTGTCAACCTCAAGAGTTCGAGTACAACAGAGACGATGTCCAGCCCCACGTTGCTTGGCCCCTGAGAATCAGGACTATGGTTAGCCGACCGGGCATGTCAATCATGTTCTACGACCAATGCATGCGTCTAGGCATCCCGGTCAAGTTTGGCGTGAATGTCGTTGACTACATTGAGAATGCTGCCGAAGGAACAGGCACTGCTGTCACAGCTGATGGCCAGCGACTCGTGGCTGACATTGTGGTTGCTGCCGATGGTCTAGGCACCAAGTCGCACAAAGTGGTCATGGGAGAAGCAATCAGAGCCGTTCCCACAGGATTCGTCATTTGCCGCATCTTCTACCGCCTTGACCCGGTGAAAAACAAGAACCTCTATGAGAAACTGATCAAGACGACGAGGCCTGATCTTCGCACTCATTCCGGGTGAGTTCTTACCGACACTTGATGAACTCGTCAGTATGCTGACTTTGGTTTTATAGTGGCGACTTCCATTGCATCTTCATCACTGCTAATGACTCTATTGTCATCGCAATCACGATGCCGGTATGTCGCTTTTCCTGGACCACACTCGCAACTAGTTTTACTCTCCTGACAGATGGAAACAACTAATCACTATCGTTCTAGGACGATGGGACTGCATCGGAGTCATGGGCCGAGACCATCACTGGCGATGAGTTTGTTAGTAAACTGCCAGTCACCGAAGGATGGGACCCTTTGATTTTGGAAGGCATTCGAAACATCCCCGAGAACAGCATCGTCAAATGGCAGCTCTGCTGGCGCGATCCCCAGTCTAAGTGGACATCGCCCGAGGGTCGGATTCTTCAGCTTGGTGATAGCGCGCACGCCTTTATTCCATCTTCGATATCTGGCGCATCTACAGCGCTGGAGGACGCTCAATCTCTGGCTGAATGCTTGCGGCTTGCCGGAAAGAAGGACGCCAACATTGGAACTAAGGTTCACGAACTATTGCGGTACGTCTAAATCTATATGCATATGGCCTCTGATCCCTCGAGCCAAACTGACTGTGCCTGAAACCAACAGCATTCGACGCGCCTCTACCCTCCAGCGTCTTGGATTCGCCAATCGACGAGAGATGCACCGGAAGGGTGGATTTGAAGAGGTCATGAAGTCTGCCGCAAAAGGGGGCCCGATGGGACTTGGCAAATGGATATGGACTCACGACCCTGCGAAGTACGCCACCGAAAAGTTTGCCGAAGGCCGCAGTCATCTCGAGAATGGCACTCCCTTTGAGCATACAAACCTTCCCAAGGGGTTCAAATGGGAACCCAACTGGACCATGCAAGAGGAGATTGAGAAAGAGAAGCGGGGAATTCACACCCCTGACCTGAAGATGAATGGTGACTGGAGCATCTACTAGACCTACACGATGTGTTGTATGGACGACCCCTGTCAGAATTATAGAGTTAGAAACATATACGGAGGCGTAGAATCAATAGAATATGTTTTCAAACACAACACCAATCACCTTGATCCTGACTCAACACCCATTTCGGCATGTACCTGCGAGATATAAAGCCTCAGTACTGCGGCTAGCACGGCTTGATGCCCACTTCTACCACGTTGAGCGGCCTTGAAAAAGCCTGAAGTTTTATCACATTAATTATGGTATATCTATAATAACAGTCTGTTTCGTTACGTATTCTTGTAGGCTTTGTAGGCTTAGTACTTTGCAGCGCGCTTAGTACTGTAAGGGCTGCTGGATGCCGACAACATGACGAAGCACAAAGGGAAGACAGGCAGTCAGTCTGATCACGTAGGGTAGAGTGATGTGGTGAGCTCAGTGCGACTGCAAATCCAGGTGATCCGTCGTCATGAGATAAAAATTACGATCAAAGGTTGAGGTGGAGCACCGCCGAGTGTCGGTTTATCGCAGGAGGAGCGCCGCCTTGCTCCAGCCAGATTCGATTTGTAAACTGATAGAATTTGTAAAGCACTCCGATTTGTAAACGTGTTTGATTTGTAAACCCAGCTGACCACCAATGATCACCATAATCCTTCCTGCCAGCTGTTGCCGATATTGAAGTCGTCGCTTACAAGTCGCTCATTTCAAACAACAATCAGAGCTCTTACTTTGAGCGACTTAACGAAATAAAGTGGGCTACATCACCGAAGAATACAATTGGCTAAGGATGTCTATTCAGACGCGGTCCGTTGGTTCTTTGTCCTCGAAGTTCAAGTCGTAACCTAGTACAAGGCACGGATGTGGCTGCAGGAGGTGCTTACACCTTATGAGCGCCACCTCTGTTGTCCGGACATTGGCGCGGGGGCTGGAGTATATATGATGGAGAAGTCCGACAACATCGCGGGGATCAATCCCCGACCTGCATCAACGAAATCGACTGCTCTTTCACAATCTTGCAAGGACTGCAGTAGAAGAAGAAGAAGAAGCAACGATGAATTCGAACGCGATTTTCAGAGTCGACGGCATCGTCGCCGTGATTACAGGCGGCGGGACAGGTATGCATCCTCCGGCAAGACGTAGATGAACCCAGTGCTAAGACAGCACCTAGGTATCGGCCTCACAATGGCGAGGGCCCTAGTCTCTCAAGGTGCCGCCAAGGTCTACATCCTTGGGCGCCGTCTTGAGGTGCTTGAAGACGCAGCCAAAGAACATCCCAACCTGATCCCCCACAAGTGCGATGTCACCTCAAAGGAAGACCTCCAATCCATTGTCGACCGTATCACCAAGGAAGTCGGCTATGTCAACCTCGTTATCGCCAATTCAGGTGTTATTGGGCCTTCTGTTCGCTTTAACCCAGCGCATTCCGTTTCCGATTTGAAGAAGATTCTCTTCGATGACTTTTCCATGACGGAAATGACGGAGGTTTTGCATGTGAACATCACGGCTGCCTTTTTTACCATGTCAGCCTTCCTTGAACTCCTTGATGCCGGTAACAAGAATGCTCTCAAGGGTGGTTTCGGCAAGCCAGACCAGGAAGGCAGCAACGTGATCGCCATCCAGAGCCAAGTCATCTTCACGAGCAGTATTTCGGCTTTCAGTCGGCACTTCTCCTCGACGCCCCCGTACTTGGCTAGTAAGACTGCTATAATGCAGCTCACTAAGCAGGCCAGTAGCCAACTGGCTAGACATGGGATTCGTGTGAACGGGATCGCCCCTGGGTGTGAGTACTACCGTTCTGATTCTGCATCTCAATTTTGCAAAACTAATAAACTCCAGTATTCCCCTCAGAAATTGCTTCTGGGCTTATCGGTGACCGCAAGCCAGAGACCGAGTCTCCTGATGATACGAAATTCATTCCTGCGAGGAGGTTTGGGGGGGATGAGGAGATGACCGGAGCAATCCTCTACCTTGCCAGTCGTTCCGGCAGCTATTCGAATGGTTCGATCATGGTCATGGATGGTGGCCGGCTGAGCGCCATGGCTAGTTCCTACTAGAGGTATTCTAGTTTCTGGTGTCGGTCAATTCTGATTCCTAATTGAGGGTATTTACGGCTCAATGCCTGCATACCATATGATATCGATGGATGCAAACTTGATAGGAATAAGTGAGGATGAGACACGTACTGCTGGACCAATTTCGCGTTGTCTTCTATGTTCTTGGCGACCATGAGCCATATGGCTCTAGCTGGGATAACGCGTGGGAGACGTTGGGCAAATTCGGAAAAGCGAATCGAAGTGAACGGAAGTAGAATCCTGAAAGCGCAGTTGGCGAGTTCGTCTTCATGTATCAGCGAGAATACCGAATTCCCGACAGCCACATAACGGTACTGGGATGCACACTATTCTTCAACGTCCCATCATCGAAGAGACGCCAGTCAGCAACAGCCTAAACGACTTCCGCGAAATCGATGGCTGGACTGTCGAAGAGCATTGCCAACTGCACAAGCAAGACCTAGCCTGGTTGAACAGCATAGTCAACGCCATATCCGTCGACTCTGAACGCAAGATTGTCATCTTCACGCACTACAGTCCGACCGAAGATATCCGCGCTGTTGAACCTTGTCATGCTCAAAGCGACATTAAATCTGACTTTCAAACAGACTTGCGAAACGAAGATTGTTGGAAAAACCCTAATATCAAGGTCTGGCGTTCGGTCATACACACTTCAACTGCGACTTTGTGGATGAGGCGACAGGGAAGCGACTCTACACCAACCAGAAGGGCTACTGGCAGGAACACTCTCCAGGCTTCAGGGAAGGAAACGTGGTTCATGTGGATTGAGGCTCAAACATGAGAGTTTGGTCTCAATGCTCTCGGCTGGAGAAAAGGTGGTTCCCTAGCCTTGTGGGAAGATAGCAACCCCAAAGGAGTTTCCTCCTCGAGTTGGCCATAGTTGGCTATATGCAGCCTACAATCGTAGCCAACCCCTAGCCGCCCAGAAGAGAATGAAAAATCATTTGTGTACCGCTTGATCAGTATAATTTTTCACAGGGGACTCGAGTGGAACGCAATTGTGGTTTTCCGTTCTGCAAAGTGGTCACTTTTCCGAATCGTCCCGACCCTCGCGTCTGTATTCAGTGGAGAGAATGGTCGGTCAGCTGCCGCAGCCTGTGAGAGACTTGTTCTAGAAGAGGCCACGCTCAAGCTCACCGACTCGGTGGTACCACGACCCTCTTTTACCCCTTTCTCCCCAAACTCAGGCTTGCGGAGGATCTCGGAGGCTCTCCGGTGAGACTGAAGTGCGGGATGAACAGGAGGCGTCGAGGCAAGCATCGAAAAGTTTGGGACGGTCATCAGATGGTGCAAAACATGGAGAATTGGACATGATTCTGGGGGGGTGGTTGGGGAATCAGTCCCGGCGATTGAGCAAAAGGATGGAGAAAACTCGAAATAGATGGTAGCAGACGTGTGAAATCCAAGAAAGCCAAGACATCGCTCTCCATTTATCATTTCTCCTTTCCCCATCAAAGACGTTCGAGTCGGTCCGTTGAATACAGCGAGAGTCTTGGGCGGTTCCCACTCGCAATCGGACCGTTACACTCCACATTCCACCCCGAAACTGCGGAGAATGGGGCATGCAATTTGGGGCCCCGATGCTCCGCGCATGGCGGTCAAGTTCCCCGGCTGCCCCGATGGGAGGCTGTCGGAAGTATTGCTACATAACGGATGTCCCATGGGGGCTCCAGCATTATGGGCGGAGAAGCATACATACTGGAAGTTTTGAACTGTACTGTGAAGCTATCAGACCATGAAGCTAGAACCTGTGTCATTGTAGAAGGCCAACAGGAGCTGTCCAGCGGACGAGACGCAAACTGTCAGATCAAAGTTGCCAGCTATGCTTTCCCCTCATCAAGTCGATCTCAGTATTCCTATGAGGGTCAAAGAAACCTGTAGCGAAATGCTTTCAGTTGTTTGACTGTCGATGGTAAGCTTTTCAAGATGGAGCAACAAGCAACACTTTAGGTAATGCCAGAGGCGTCCAGCGCGCTGAATCACGGGGGCATCGCAGGGATGGCATTGACTTGTTAGTCTGCCCAGACTGAAAAAGCACAACTTTGCTAACTGCCAACATTCGCCCAGCCAGCAGCCTTGGAAGTCCATAGTTAAGTTACAAGACGCGTTGCGCTCACAGTCTAGGCACGTCACATTCTGTCTCGGAGTAATCCAGTAACCCGGCTGCATCTTACAGCACAATAGACTTCTGAACAAGCAGAAACAGGTCGGTCGCGCCGCTGTCTGACTCGCACGTGAGGGTCTGGGGATCGTCATTACTTTTTATTCCTGGTGTTCAATTCCAAGACGTCGCGTTGTGCAAACCCGGCCCCACGTTGCCGGTTCCGTCTTCGCCTATTCCAGGCTTTGACATTCGTTTAGGTGGAAGAATCAGCAGTCTTGCAGAGTTTCCAGGGAGACTCGGTCGCGCTTTGAGAGCTTGGCCTTCCATCGTGGACTCATCTTGGCGGCATAAGCCGGTGTCTTGGCTTCACAAATCGATTCCGTATGCCAATGTCCGCGTACCCCTGTCTCGCTGTCGGCAATGACGGGGGCCAAGCAGCCGATCTGAAGCCTCACCCTCAAGTCTCCCAACCATTGTCGATGGAGTGAGCCCCATGAACAGGTGCTTTTCGCCCTGCCCAGCTTGTCTATTGTCCGGCCTGAGCTTTTCAACTCGCTGGCACTGCGAGCTCTCTAGCTCGCACGACTCGCAGACACCAAGTCCTGCCTTGGTGGAATGCGCGGCGCCCTTCCAACCCCGGATTGTCGATGCATGGGGCTTCCGACAGTCAGTCGCGTGGGTGGCGCCTTTCCTGTCTCCCCCAGATGAAGGCGTGGGATGAAAGTGGATTGTGTCCATGTACGGATACAACAAGTACTTCCCAAGGTCATCCCACACCTTCCATCGAGCCTTCATCAACCTTGCCGGTCTGCGCCCCAGTATGGAGAAAGGATAGGACCGAGTCGGCCTCTGGGGCAACGTCATAGCATCGTTGCCAATCACTATAGTCGGTCAGCCGACTCAGGCTCATCCACATTTGCGAAGTAGCAGGATGTGGCTGCAGTATAAAGCCATCACGGTGCATACATGAGAGACATGAGCATCACTTCCCACGCTCTCTGGCTTTCCCACACAACTGGGCTTGAGCCGACCTTTTATATCCGCTACTCCTTCACTGGACTATTAGGACATCTGCATGAGTTCTTGAGCGAAGAGCTTCTGCTCCCTCACACACTGCTCCAGATTCCACCCAAGCTCGATCTCGATTCCGTACAAGAGCATCTGAAAACATGGGGTTGGGCAAGAAGTAAGAGAGCCGTTGCACTGTACACTCTGGTAGTCACTAACCCCAAGTTAAGGTCCATTCGCATTAATGGTGCCGACTGCGGCATCGAGTCGCTTTTGCTTGGTGTTATCACCAGCATAGGAGGCTTCCTGTTCGGTTATGACACCGGTCAAATTTCATCTATGCTTCTGTTCACGGACTTCAAGAGACGCTTCGCAACCGGTGCACCAGACGCCGACGGTATTCCACAATGGGTTCCCATCACCCAGTCCTTAATGGTGTCGCTCATGAGTATCGGTACTCTCATCGGTGCGCTCTCAGGTGCCTACACAGCCGACTGGTGGGGCCGGCGAAGGAGCTTGAGTTTTGGTGTCAGTATCTTCATCGTTGGAAACATTATCCAGATCACAGCCATGAACTCGTGGGTTCACATGATGATGGGTCGCTTCATCGCTGGTCTGGGAGTCGGCAACTTGTCTATCGGTGTGCCCATGTTCCAGTCAGAGTGCTCTCCCCGCGAGATTCGTGGTGCTGTTGTCGCATCCTACCAGCTTCTCATCACCTTCGGCATCCTCATTTCCAACTTGATCAACTTCGGCGTTCGCAACATCCAGGAGTCCGATGCTTCATGGCGCATCGTTATCGGCCTTGGTATTGGCTTCTCCCTGCCATTGGGCTTGGGAATCCTCGCCGTTCCCGAATCTCCTCGATGGCTCGCAGGTCGTCAGGATTGGGAAGGCGCTCGCATGTCCATGGCGCGCCTCCGTGGTCTTAAGGACGATCCGCACAACGAGACCGTCGAGAAGGATCTCCAGGAAATGTTCAAGGTCATTGAGGAGGAGTCCAAGACGGGCTACGGTACTTGGCTTGAGTGCTTCACTGGATCCTCTGGAATCCCGAAGACCGTCTACAGAACGATCCTGGGTATCTGCATTCATTTCCTGCAGCAGTGGTATGTTGCCGTCCACCGAAGTTTCAATGTCTAAGAACAGTGTCTAACATCCACCATAGGACCGGTATCAACTACTTCTTCTATTACGGAGCACAAATTTTCGAGTCGGCTGGTATTGACGATCCGATCATGGTTCAGCTTATTCTTGGTGCCGTCAACGTCGTGTGCACTTTCTATGGTCTCTATGCTGTTGAGAGATACGGTAGACGCTGGCCCATGTTTATTGGTGCTCTGTGGCAGTTTGCCTGGCTCACAATCTTCGCCTCTGTCGGCACTGCCCTTCCTCCCGAAACCAGCGCAACCAGTGGCATCGTGATGATCGTCTCGGCCTGCATGTTCATTGCTTCCTTTGCTAGCGTAAGCTTCCCCCTGCCAACTTTAACGATTCTCCTTACTGACTATCTATCTTATAGACCTGGGGACCTATGGCGTGGTGCGTCATTGGAGAGACATTCCCTCTCCGAACTAGAGCCAAGCAGGCATCTCTTGCTACCGCCGGTAACTGGTTGGGCAACTTCCTCATCTCGTTCCTGACACCATTCGCGACCAACGGTATTTCTTTCGCATACGGTTTCGTTTTTGCTGGTTGCAACTTAGCCGCCGCTTTCCTCGTATGGTTCTTCCTCTACGAGACGAAAATGCTGTCCCTCGAGAACGTCGACAGAATGTACAGCGACCCAAGCGTCAAGCCCTACTCTTCCACCAAGTGGGTGCCTCCAGGCTACATCACTCGCAAGGATAAAGACGAGTCCGCGTTCCAACGAGCATCGGTCCACACCGACAACAGCAACCCGACTGAGAAGGCAAGCGATGAGAGACCTTTCTCCGAACATCACACCAAGCAAGAAACTACATCCAACGCCGTTTAGGCCATTATAGTTTCATAGTTGCTTGCGTCTATAGTTTTAATAATAATACCGTTGAACATAATCCATGTGTAAGGTCATAGAATCGGCTGTAACTTCGCCGTGTGGCACATGGGCGTATGCTTTCCCCTTCTGAAAGACCTCTATTTCAAAGCTTGAGAGACATTACGAGGATGAACAGATCTTTTGTTCGAGCTATTGTTTAGAATACCAAGCTGTGTCCCTTTTCCCCTTCAGAACGTCACTGGCCGTCTCCAGTCCTCATGAAAATATTCGAAGGTCTGTCTCGGTGCGCGAATTGCTCTTCAACGTCATATTCGATCTCTGGGCCTTCTTGCTTGAAACCCAGCTTGGAATACACGTGTCTACCCATACTTGACGCCTCCAAGAGTAGCTCAAGCCCGCCACGTCGCTTCGCCTCATCGAGACCCCACTGAACCAGCTTCTTGGCGATGCCCTTACCCTGGAACTTGGGATCCACGGCGCACATGTCCAGCACGAAAACTGCCGGCTCAGCCGCCGTCGCCTTCTCTGCGATGACCTCCTCACGTCGCTTGTGCAGCGATCCCATACAGGCTGCGGCGTATCGCTGCTCGGCTTCGTTGCCGGGGAAGATGGACTCCAGCCCGAGCTCCTTGATCAAGTCTTTCGGTGGCTGATCGCCGTGACCTTCAATGGCGGACTGCTGTGCCCAGATTGCCATGCCTACGATTCTGCGCTGTCCGGCATTTTCGGGATCCGGAAGGGTGGCCTTGAGGAAGACGACATTGGGGTCGCCCTTGTTGTTCTGGTTGACGGTTTTGAAGCGGTTAGCCATGCGACCGGCGCCGCGAACCACGCCTTCCGGCGTATCCCAGCCGGGGTTCATGGACAGGTAGACACCATCACGAGCTTGGTGACCGAATGCGTCTCGGACGACCTCGGTGACTTGAGTAAAGTCCTCGGGCTGGGAGATGACTTCGATGCGGACATCATAGTTCTGCCCCGCGACGGTGGTGCTTGCCATGGTTTCTGCGGGGTAATCGCGGTTGAAGACTTCAAATGGCGGGGTCAAAATGCTAAAGTCTGGGTCGCAGGGGCTTCGAGGCGGTGTTACTGCGCAAGATTCCAATGAGTCTCGAGTTTGGTTGTTGAGTCTACAATTTCTGCATGGAACGAAGTTAAGTGGACAAAGTGTCTTTACTGAAAACTGAAAAAGTCAGCACCTTTGCCAAGCTCTTCTCTTGAGCACGACAAACGGACAACCCGAGTTGAACCTGGACGCATGAATCATCCAATGCCCCCGAGTTGGTATGGCCCACTAGACTCCGCATCTCGGAGACGAAACCCCCGATTTAGTCGTCAACTCCATGTTTCTTGCTAGTGCCCGAGCTGACTTAACTCTTATTAACAGACACGATTGATCCAATTCATGAGAATGTAACGTTGAATGACAACATAGGCTCTTATGGATTCAAATGTCAGAGCCCAAGAGCTAAGTGAGAATGGAGAAAGTTGTGAAATTTCAGACGGCTGACTCTGGTCGAGAAAAGACTGACCATGTCCCAGAGGCCGAATGCCGCTAGAGGTAAGAATTGAGACCCACGCTAGGCAGCTAGCACTTTTTGATTCACAGCGTCCTACGGAACAGTAGAAAGTCAATGGTGTTTAACAACAAGAAAGAGTTCAAGATGCTTGGCATCAACTATTAATCATCCTACTGGTTTCGTCATAAACACTTAGCGCATTCATGGTAGCTTCAGGCTTTTCCATCCAATTGATCTAATTCTTTTTGGCGCTCCCAAATGTTTTCTGACAAATTAACAGCCAAATACTCTAGCAGTGCAAACATTGATACCAGCAGCTCCAGCGCCAGGTGCAGCCATGTACTCGCACTTTGTCGCAAATGTCCACGAGCCATGCGGCGCAGAGTACTCCACAACATCATCACGGAAGCGCATGTATGCTGAGTATCCAGAGCGGCAGCTCAGACCTAAGTTTGAGATTACAATTAGCTATTGGTGCATAGTTGCCATGTCAGAGTGCGGTGAAAATAACTCACGCCAGCCATTAACGTCGCCGTATCCGTTCACGCTGCAAACCTTTTGGCCATTGTCTGTGAGCGTGATAGTGGCATATTGGAAGTTGTTGATGCTTGCGACGAAATCGACGCAAGCTAGTGCAGAGCCGGCGAAAGTTGCGAGGACGACGTTCTTGAGGGAGACCATGTTGACTGGATGGATGATTTTCGTTTGAAACTTGGGATTGGCGAGTTAACTAATGAGGAGATGCAAGCTGATTGAGGTGATTCTTCTGATCGTGAAGATTGCATGCAAGCACAGAACAATCATACTTATACTTGGCCGTCCTGAACATGATCGAGCTCAGACTATTAGCAAACTTCTGCAATGAGAAAAATAATGGCTGCCTGATCGGAAATGCCTCGTAGTAATTTCATCTCCAATAAGCCTCCTAACGTTGGCAAATTTTGAGGTCTTGACCGCTGCGATGTGAAGTATTGGCGGCTTACGTGCCAAGACAAACGTCTAGCTGCCTGCCTCGCCAAGTTAAACAACCCCCAAGCTCTAAGCCCCATGGGGTCTGATGTCGCAGGGGGGCCGTTTCCCCTTTCAGGATTCGAGGTCACCTTTCAAGAGGAAGTCTACCCCGATTGGTTGTCTTGCTAGTTGAACTAGGAGTATAACATTACCTCGTGAAGCCAACAGTGAGTCTGTCAGGTAGCTGCTGACTCGCCCCCCAGCAGCGGCAAGCGACGATGAACATTGATCCTTCCGCTGAAACCCTCGCGATCGGCAGTCTTATCAGCTGGGAATGGAGGAAATACACGTTCTCGGCTATTTGATTTCAGCTGACGTGAGATTCTCTGGTCTGTTTAATGAATGGGTTTGAGTTCTGTTCGAACAATATGACAACGCAGAAGTCGGGTCCATACGCGACTTGCCTGATGCTTATGCAGGCAAGTTGTTCAACTGCAGCGAAGAATGACTCTAGGACACCAAGGTAATTGAAACGTTCTGTGGCTCGTTCTGGAAATCGTTATCAAGCGCCAGATCTATAGTGTTTTCGGTGGAATAATTCTGCCCAAGCAAATGATCGACTAATACCATGTTGTGTACTCCGTAGGTCCTTGATGGCGTAGGCACCCCACAACCCGAACTGAATGTTCTTCTGGACCATCCCTGCCGCCTTCCCTGCCACCTTAAAGTTAAGTGCCCTTTCGATCCGAGAGAAGTGTCACCTTATTCTCACCCCACTTGCAAAGTCCCGTAGCTTCAATAGATGATTGGTCTGCTTGTACTTCACTTTCTACTCGTCATAAGTTAGAGGAGTTGACCCATGATAGATCGTGAATTGATAAATGATTAGCAAACACACGTTAAATGGTTCAGCAGACGTTTCTAAAAGTGAAGTGCGATTCAAGAAATCTAAACAAACAATCTACAAGGCTGAACAAAAAAACAAAGAAATGATCCAATCAATCAAGGAACCAAACGTCCAAAATCAGGCAGAGCCAACAGCGAATTCCTTGACAACCTTACACACTGGAGCTGCCCCATTAGCAGCATACTCGCAGCGCTCGCCCTTCAAGGTAGAAGCCAGACCCCTCTTCTCCTCCATGCGGGCAAAGTGACGGGAGCGCTTGGCGGGAACGTTCTTGGGAGAAACGTCAGTGAAGGCCTTCTTGGTGGAGTCCCAGATCTTGTTGTCGGAGGTGATGAAAGGAGCACCGGCAAACTTGGTCAGCGACTCGTCCTTGCCATTGAAGAATCCAGAAATCTCCTCAAGGAAGGGAACAGTATCAATGGTCTGGTTCTTGCCGGAAAGAGAGCGCTTGCTGAAGGACTCCTTGCAGCTGTTGCGGTTTGCGACCTGTCCCACGTTGTCGGTAACGTACTTGCAAGCCTGCTCAAAGGTAGTCTTGGCTAGTGTGTCGTTCTTGCCCTTGTTGAAGATGCCGGCAAGGTTCTCCATGTCGAGGTGAAGGGACTGGATGGGCTTGTTGGTGCCGTCGGGTTGACCGTCAAGCCAGATGCAGCGCTGGCGAACACCATTGAGGACGGCGCCCCAATTCCACTCGCGGCCGCACTGGAAGCCCAAGTCACCAACAGGGATGAAGACCTCGTCGCGTCTTGCCTGGGTGTCACTTCCCTTGAGAATGATGTTGGAGACGCAGATGGCATTGCCACCAGGCTGGATATCGAGAGACTTGAGGTTGAAACCATTGTTGGTCTTGAAGCTCTGAATAGGCGCCTCAGCGTTCTTCAGGCCCTTGAATAGTTCCAAGTCACCATTGTTGCGGCATTGGTCCTCGGGCTTGTCACTATTTCCTTCGAAAACACCAAAGATCTGGGTGTTGGAGAAGTCGGACAGGATAATGGAAGGAGGGTTGCCCGCGGCATCTTGATTGTCTCCGATTTCCATGCGGATGGTGTAGAAGTCAACCTCCTTGGGCTTCGTGTTGATAGCCGACATGATGCCAATGCCCGATGAGACGAGTCCCAAAAAGGTAGCGACATTGCCAATGGCGGTGCCGAGGGTTGCAACTGCTCCAATAGCGGCCATTTTGAATCGAAAAATTGGTTGTAAGTGAAAGTGGTAGGAAAGTTCCTAAGTGAGTGAATAAAAAGCACAAAAAAATGAAGGAAGTACAACTCGTTGTTGCGATGGAAGACTGATCTGATTGAGGTGATGATGAGAAGAACAACATATTTTCGAGGACAAGCAAAGACTTTTATAACATCATGACACTAACGGAACTGTTCTTATTCCATGTACGGTCATCATGATCACTCCTCAATATCAATTTTGATGATGCCAATCCATCACCTCGCTTAGCCTCTTGATTGAATCCATATTGCGCCTGGCCAAGTAAGGCCAGCCTTTTCCATGGTAGTCGGCGCCGAGCGGACACTTTGGCAGTACAAAGGCCGAATGCCCGATGCTATTCTCAGCTGCCAAGTCCGTATTCGATGCTTCGTGAAGTGAATTAACAAGGTTATTGTGGACTTCTTAGCATGCATGTTAAGAAGACTGTAGAATCCAATTCTTTACTTCTGAAACCGGCCAGGCGGGACGAGGGATCGACACTGGCAATGCTTGACAACTAGGATCCATGCACATGCGGAAAAGCTCTCCGATACAACTCTGAAGGCATTCTGGTTGATGATGACACTGGCGAGTTGAATCGACCAATTTCCGACTACCACGAGGATTTCTTTTCGAAATGTGCACTGGGCTCGAAACTTTGCCTTTTACGAATTGAAGCTCTGCAAGTCGGACTGAGGGGACGTACGTGCTCTCAGCTGCCATGGAATCAAGCGGAGATGCGGAGTAGCGTCAGTGCAAAAATAGAGTTCCTCTAGCCCACGCAGTGTATGCCCCCTATTGTGACCAGGAAGGCCTCGAAGCGGTTTTGTAACCGGTTCCCTGCTTGCCATGGAATAGAAGCTCTAGACTCCATTTCTCCATGATAACTGGGCTGATGCTAAGCCCTATCACAAATTTTCAAATTCGGTATCCATGAACAGCCCGCACTATGCGGACTGTTTTTCACCGCCGGCGGCGGGCTTTCAACTTAGTGAACATCGTTAAGCGACTTGTCAAAGCTGTGTGTCGTGTTTAAGGCGTTTTTCAACGCATAAAGGAGCTCGGCGTCCTTGTAACCCCCTGAACATGTCGCCTTGGCAAGCAGCGATCCGGATGAACTCAACGACTCGACTCGTTTGGAGGCCGAAGACTTGGCTATTTTGACAGGACAAACACCTTTCGGTAGTCCCGTGATAAGTTATAGCATAGCGTCTTGAAAAATTCAGACATTGATTGGAACTTTGGGACTGAATGCAACTTTTTTGACGCATTTGCCTGTCTATCGGCACCACATGTAGAGCGTATTTTTGGTCTCATACTCGCGGAGCCGGTCTGGGGGGAAAGCACGTACAGAAATGCTGCCCACAGCAATGAGCGTTAACGCTGATCTGTAAACATCCAAATAGCGTGTGCTTTTCCTCCGAGATCTTCATGACAATCACGGGGGAGGGAGGGCTAAAGAGAAAAGGCCATCCTTAGATTCCGAGGCCCCATGTCGTTCGATGGCCGAAAACCGATTGGCTGCTCCTGTTTCACCAACATGGAGACGATGAGGAACAACCTTGTTAAGGGTTTCAGCCTCTGGATGAACAGTAAGCCATTTAGTGGCCCCGTCCAACACTGCCACTCTTCATGATGGGCTGACAGGCGTTTCTGGCCCATGGGAATGGGCGACAGCGGGCCGCATGGATCCAAGTTTAGTATCGCAATTCTCGGCTCGTGCACATAATACTTATTCACCTAGCCAGGAAGCTTTCCGAAGCCTTAGGAGGATGCTTTAGCTGGCTTGTGGCAAGCTAGCTGTGGGGTCTGTCTATGTGGTACAAGTGCAGGAAGTATCCTGGTACAGGGCACAAGACGACTTCTGACGAGATATGCGTCGATATTGATGGATCTAGTCTAGGACCATCTTAGTCCACTTGAAGTCGACCACGGTATTGTAAAACTGTCGTCGCCTTTGCCAAGAGAATTTGACCATTTCTTTCGATGTGCCAACATCGTGATAAAGTCAGGTTGCCCTTAGGAACAATAATAGTATAATAGGAATTCTGGATCCACCAAGTCAACACGAAACAGGGGCGCACAGATAGTAGTCACGGTTGAAAGTTTCTTGCGCAGTGCAACACTGACTAATTATCTCGGCAACCTGTTGCAACACCTTATTTCATCGTTGAGTAATCGACCTGGTCTTGAAAGCACCAAGTTTCGAGGCTCCCCGACAGGAATTGCCGAAGGACCGGTGACTTTGTTGAACTTTGTTCGATAATGAGGTAGACCCCACGCCGCACCGACTCACAATTTTTAAGACGAGCACACATCACTATGGCCTTCGTTATAGGACATAATCAGACTCATATTGCGCTACTATATGTAGCAATATTGGGTCGTGACATCGCCGGTCCCCCCTTATCCGCCTCCTCCTGAACAAGGTAGGCGCAGATCATCAGCCTCAAGCAAACGGTTGAAGGCCCCCTCACGGGGCATCCGCGAAAGCAATACTATACTGGGCGGTGAGAAGAACAGGAGAAATCGCGTAGGATATTTTCATAGTATTCCAACCTTCGCCTTCCTTCTCAGCCTAAAAGTACGTATGGTGGTGTGAACTCGTCTTAGTCAAACTTCAATCTCTCTTGCTTGCTATGAAGAGGTTGAGGTAAATGATTTGATCTAGTGTCAGTCCACCAAGCTTGACACCACTGAGATCTTCGCCACATCCATATCTGGGTGGTTCTGGGCTACAGACTGGCTATATACGGCCGTTGCGGGCATTATGTCACACATCTGGCTGCGGTTACCAGTTACAGTCTCACATCTGCCGGATCAACGCGCTACTGCCGTCGTTGGAGTTCATTGCCGCGTCCGCGACGAAGGTCCGGATACGGTCTCTTAGATTGTGCTGTTCGATTAGATCCTTGCCCGTGTTATTGTATATGAGCGCAGACGGTTCTGTCAGGTCATTGTACGCGACACTGGCAAAGTCCCGAGTCGTGCCGTTGAGCTAGATGACTAGTTTTTGCTGGTTGGGCTAATGATTCAGATGAATAAATTATGAGTTTATGTCATGCAGAGTTGACATCGGGTATGAGCATGTGATTGAGACCGGAGGTGGCGATGAGTGAAACTTTCTTTCGACCGACTTTGTGAGGCCTTGCGGAAGTTGTACTACAGTCATCTCAGCTTAGGACCTCAAGAGCGCGCGAAGAAAAGCGAGAAAAGAAAATTGAGGAAGCGAAAGCTACTACGATCATCTGTAATGTTTCTACTTGCATCACTTCTCGTTCCCAGAATCCCAGAATCTCAGCTAGTAAGCCATGGTCTTTGCTGATTCCCTCTCAACGTGGCGTTCGGGCCTGATGTCTCAGACTCATTTGAGCGGTGTGAAATAGTTCTTCCTGAAGTTACGTTTTCCTGGATGAACAACTTGATGTCGTCTGAGTTGAGAACATCCCAAAACATCTACCATAGGCGAATGCTGCCCGTGCTGATATTTTCGTGCGTCCGGAGTACACGTGTAACTATCGCGATAGCCTCAGTTCCCACATGTTTCCCGTATTAGAAACCAGCTGAACGAGAAGAATTTACTCACCTTCGGGGCTACTTTTGGGCTGGACTTGTCTGGCGTGTAGAAGGGAGATTGGACGTGGGGTCAATCTCTAAGCTAGACATTTACACCCAAGTCAAACCTCAACCAGCCACGGGCGGCAAGTGGGAGCATCTTCCAGCCACCAGCTTAGTTCCAGTTCATCCCACCGGATGCTCAATGACTCTGGCACACATTATCCCCATAGTTTCTCTAATCGTGGTACCAAGGATGGATACAGCCAGGGCCAACGGCCCTTTCATCGGCCAATGCCACGACAGGAATGGATCTGATAAGATTATCGGAACAGATTTTGACAACAATTGCCAGGCCTTGGGCAGATCAAATGATGTCAAGTCGATGAGGGATTTTTGGCTTGGATCCCGATCCTTACAACTCCCTTATTCTCTAGACAGTGGGGGGTCTAGCAGAAAGCATAAAAGGCACCTTAGCCTCACGCTACCCAATCTCATTTTTCCTCGCATCATAACATTTCAACAAACTCAATTACTCTAGTCACGCCCATCGACTCATCCTGTGATTCAACATGCAATTTCTCACCGTCGTCAGCCTTCTCCTTGTCGCCGTTACCCAGGTCGCGGCGGCCCCTCCTCCCGCTCTGGAGGGTCGAGACTATGCGCTTTGCTGCTACGTAGGTTCACGCTCTCGGCTTAGATGTAGTGATAAGAAAGTTCTAACTGGTCAACAGCTCACTTGCAAAGACGACCCGGCGTGCAAATAATGGAGGACCCAACCGCTGATACTTGAACGAAAAAGTCTCGGAAAAGCTTCTGGGGACACTCACGGGAATGTTTTGGAATTGGGCAGAGACCACCCACGTGTCTCATACTTGTTAATCTATCAACATATTTTCCACGCCATGAAGGTACCAGATACAATCACGAAGTATTCTTGCCATGTGGGTTCAAAACGGGCGTTGCCTTCCGAATAGACGTCAACGTATGCAATGTCATGGATCTCATGTCAATGGGTCTACGCCTCTTATCGAGACATTATGGGGGCATTTGAGACTAGCCAGTGATGTCAGTGATAGGCGTCAAGCTGAAGACTAACACTCTTGCGACTTAGAGCTATGGGAATGATTTCGTTGAAGACTACTTAGAACAGAATGACTAGCACGGGCGGGGTTGTTCTCGTGATCTAAGATGTCCTCCGTAATCATCGCTTCTTTAACTCTATTACGAAATCTCCGTTCAAATACTTGACCCTCCCCTAGTCGGGGTTGACCAGAGGTGGCCACTAGCCCGCCCCGTCACTTCCTCCCCTGCAACGGATCGAGTTTTCTAGTTATCGCACATGACACATGGATAGACGGATGGGATACTTATGACGGACACAAGTTATGGCCACTATCGTGTACTTGAAATTTTCTTGTAGCTTACGACCATCCATATGATACCTTGTTCAGAGACTGAGGACTCCAAGAGAGAACAAGCAATTTGGGGTTGATTCATCATTCAGAATGGGATAGCTGATTGAAGAATGCCCGATAAGGCAAGGGCCTAAACCGGCATGTCAGGACCGCCGTTTCCCAAGGCCCGCAAACCGCCCCTTGTGTTACCTTTGTCAAACGTGAAACTGGCATCTCATAGTCCGTACCATCCATATATTATGTCCTCGAAATGCTATTTGTGGCCGCCCCATAACGAAGTGACTGTGGTCGCGATAATACGGTGATGATAAAATAGCTTCTGGCGGCTAGAAATGTGTGCTGGGAGAGAGTCTGTTCTTGCTGACTTCTCCATATGGAAACCTATCTGAAAGATAGGGTCCGGCGTACGTGGAGGAGTTTCTATGATTCTCGAGTCTGGATTTATTTGGTGTTCAGGAGAGAAATTGTACGCGGAATCAATTTTAAGCTGGCCCTCGACCCAAAACTTAGCGAGTCACTAACAAAGAAAGAGGCGATGATGCAGCACGGAGGGCGTTTGGGAACATCGCATGCGGGCCGCGCTAGCGACTGCTCGCCGGTATCCCACATGGCGGTCATGCCCAGTCCCGGGAGTGCCCGTCCCGCACGCACAGCAACACCTGGATGTTGGATCCGCATCATCCCGAGGCCGGGCCGGAACTGAACGTCTCCCGTCGCATGTTATGGTGTCCATCCCTATCGAAGCGACGACAACCTTGGATGAGTGAATCGATTTTCAGCTTCAGGAACAACATCTAGGTAGACTGTGACAACTGATTCTGCTAGTAGATTTGACAGCGTTCTATCCATGCGATAATGTCACAATTATGCCTTATATACTCGCATGACGTATGTTCGTACAATCAAGAGCGTTACAGCTCTGTGAAGATTACCTTAGATCGCGTACAACTCGGTATGAGCCAATGATGTATCGATCTACTCACTGACTTTTGGTCGCTGAAAACGCAAGTCAAGTCTTCATGCAGAGCTTTGACTTGAGACATAACTGAGAAGACCAAGACGCCTGCAACCAAAAACCTATCGATAGGTCCAACGCCGACGAAGGAGGCACGTTGATTCAAAGATAAGCACAGTCGCAAACACGTCTCAACGCCCATGCCAAGACCCTCCCTCAGCATCATCTGGTTTAAAAAAGAAAAAAAAAAGGAAAACGACGGCAACTTCTTATTCGTGCTCGACATCATCAAACCTTGCTGCATGCTTATTTTGTTACTCTGACTGATATGCAAAGCATTTAATATGCGGATATTGTGAGGAGGTTCCTAAACCTGATCTGGCAGTTATATCCAAAGTCAAGCGCACGCAAAGCTTCTGACCTCGCTAATCACAGTGCAGGAACAATTTGCAAGATTTTCGGACATATCCCGTCTCCCCGTTTACTTACGCTACTCCTTGCCCCTGATTGACGGGGCCCACTTGATATTGGATCTCGACCTGCGAGCACGGGATATACTCGGAAATTCTCTACCATTGGTACTAACTCAAACGTTATTTGAGATCGCTAAGTGATGTTTGTAGGAGTTCCACCGAGTCTGGGGCAAGCGGGGTACACTCTCCGAATGACTGAGAGTAGTGCGATGGCTGAAAAGCATCAGGAATCTAGGTTCTTCCCAAATATGGTTACAAAAAACCCAAACAAGACGGATGCTCAAAAAGCCAGCGTTCACATCGGCTTCTTAGCCGTCGACGGAGAAGCCGCTGCTGGCTACTAGCAAGACAGAAGCTCCTCTATCACGAGAAAATACGAGTACGAAAGTGACCCTTGCCAAAACTCCAGTTTAGTGGCTCTTGTCTCCGGCCCCTTCACGCCGTTACCCTCAGTATTTTCTCTCAGCGATGCATTCCTTTGGCTTGATACGGCATCAACCGGCCGATTTCTTTCTCGCATTTGCTGAGATAGTCGCAATGTGGACCACACTTTGCTGGACCCGACCGCTGCGAGTGTGAGCTGCATTGGGTCGAGGAGGTTTCCCGTGACGGAGAAAGGCCGCGCAGGTCCATTAGCTAGCATCACAAACGACTTGCCCAAAGAGAACACAATTAGGAAGTCCCGCAGATATTCACTTGCATTTGGCATATGGGGCCGTGGAGGAGACGTCACTACTCTCAATCGAGCAGACTTTGTGTCCCATTCAGGGGGGCGCGTAGGGCGCACGCGCCGCAGCAAGACTGTAACTAACCAATCAAAGGGCTTCTGGGGAGCGCCTTACAGCTTTTCGATCTGTCAGTTTAATTAAAGTGACAGGCGTGGTCTGTTCCAAGTAGAAAGACTCCTCATCTTTGTGAGCTAAAGGGCTTTACCGTGTTCACGTACGAGGAATGGCTGGCATCGATGCTTTATCAGAGGCTGCCGCCTCCCAGGAATTCGATGAGGCTCGGTGTTTCTCAACATATTTTCTCTTGCTGTTGGGTTTTCCTCAAGTCTCTCTTTAACTTTTTTGGTCTCGAGTTGTCTCAATCGAGTCTGTCCATTCGTTGAGTTCAGGAACTCACTATTATCTACTCTCCTTCTCTTCTCAGTCTTTATATACTTTTCCCGCTTCCCAAACTCTCCGCGGGTTCCGCGTCTCCTTCGGACACAATGAAGTCGGCTACAACCATCTTGGCGGTCTTGGCGGCCGTTGCCAATTTGACTTCCGCTCAGACCGTGAGCGGAAAGGCGGAGGGCTTCGCGGCCGGAGTTACCGGTGGTGGAAGTCTTGCCGCCGTCACGCCCAAGGACATTGACGAGCTGACAAAGTACCTCACCGACGACGAGCCCCGTGTCATTGCTCTTTCCCAAGAGTATGACTTTACCGAGTCCGAGGGCACGGAGACCGGCACAGCATGCGCCAGCTGGGGGACCGGCGCCGCTTGCCAGAGAATCATCCAGGATGACTGCGGCAGTTCCACCAAGGAGACGGACACTTGGTACAAGGCCGCCCGTACGCCTATCGACGTCGGGTCCAACAAGACCATCATCGGTGTCGGTAACAAGGGCGTCATCAAAGGTAAGGGCTTGAGGATGCAGGGTAGCAACGTCATCATCCAGAACATTGAGATTACCGACCTGAACCACAAGTACGTCTGGGGTGGTGACGCTCTTTCTTTCGCCGGCGCTGACCTTGTCTGGGTCGACCACGTCACGGTAAGTCACATTCTGCCATAATCTAAGTATTTGTACCTTAATTGAAAGCTGACTTGAATCAAGACTACCCGTCCCGGGCGCCAGCACTACGTGTTCGGCTTCACTGCTAGCAAGCGCATCACCCTATCCAACAACTTCATCAACGGAAACTCGACCTACTCCACTGGCTGCGATGGATACCACTACTGGACTTTCGAAATGGTTGGTAAAGACGACCAGATTACCATGAAGAACAACTACGTGTACATGACCGCCGGTCGTGGTCCCGCTCTGAGTGGTTCCACCCTGCTTCACGCTGTCAACAACGTCTGGGAGGACACCAAGGGACACGCCATTGAGGGTGGCGAGGCTACCGCTCGCGGTATTTTCGAGGGCAACGCCTTCATCAACGTCAACCAGCTCGTCTCCGACTACCAGGGCAAGCTCTTCACCGCTCCTGATGCGACCAGCGCTGCGGAGTGCAAGACTGCGCTGGGCAGAGCGTGCGAACTCAACGTCTTCGAGGACACCACCGACGCGTTCAAGTACACCGATACCTCTTTCTTCAGCGACTTTGATGGTCTCACCATTGCCAGCGCCGCAGCTGGTAGTGCGATCAAGACCACCGTCCCCAGCAACGCCGGCATGGGCAAGCTCAGCGCTTCGTCTTCCTCCGATGCTACAACTGAGGCTGCTGCCGAGACCGTTGATACCGTCGAGACTACTCCCTCGGCCGCTCCCGTCGCATCCACTTCTGCTGCGCCCAAGGCTTCCGAGGCTGCGACTTCTGGATCCGTTGCCCTGTACGGCCAGTGCGGTGGCCAGGGCTACTCCGGTGCCACTACCTGCGCATCTGGCAAGTGTCAGCTTGTCAACGACTGGTATTCCCAGTGCGTCTAAGTCGATGGAATGAAGTCAACCAGACACGGCCAAAAGCAAGAGAGGGAACAGGTGTGCACATAATCACGGGTAACGGCATTGAGTTGCGATACCCACCCTTTTGTAATATCATTTCGGATTCATCGGATCCATGCATGTATATTTTTCCTCTGAACTATATTTTTTTGGCCTGGAGCCACGTAGAAAAAGTCAGCGTTTTGCATCAGGTAACGTCTTTGGAGGCGAATACTTTCCTGATTTGATGTGAATACTGAAACCACTATCCATGCATGGATCATGAGTCTCTAGAGCTTCAGCTCGTATAACTAGCGCATGTAATTTGACAACTGCCTGCCTTAGTGGGCTGGGTAAGGTGAGATTGATCCGCGGCGGCGGACAATATCCGTTATTGACTATGAGACGAACAGTCAAATTGCCTCGATTACCAAAGCTTCTCATGTTCCGATTTCCCGGGATGAAAGCTTCAATTGTGGGCGACTTAAAGCAATGGCAGAATTATTCGTCGAATCGTGGGTTTCACTGCCTCTTGTTCCCACTTTCGCTCTCGCATTCGCTCCCTGCCGTGGCTCAGGCCACGCCTTGTCTCCAGTTCACCACTCTCTTGAGTCGTGAACATTATCATCGCACATCTCAGCCTTGCGGCAGTACCGGGAACCACTGGAGATCCGATCTAGTTGAACCCGGCGATTGCTTCAAGTATGTTAAACCCTTCGACTATGAATTACTAACATGCCAAGCAATAGCTATTTAAGTATCTACATTTTCCTCTTTACAATAATCATTTTCACAACTTATAACTCAAGCAAACAGTCAACAGTCGCTTCAAGAATCACTCACTCACTTCAACGAACTCTCTTGCAATCAGCCCTACCTACTTCCCATTCAAAATGCAGTTCTCTACCGTGACCGCCATGATGACTTTCATCCTCGCTACCGCGACTGGGTACGCTATCCCTATTCTCTTCTGCCCATTCGTAACTCCTTCTCTTCTTCTATTGTTTTACGACAGGGCGCATGAGATACAAATTTCCAGAAGTTTGTGGCTAACAGACCATCAATTAGTGTCACCGCCAAGCATCACACCCAGCTTCATTGCATTACTGCCTCTGGAAGTGGCCAGTTCATCTTCGCATTCCCCGTAAGCTCTTGACTCCAGACCAAGGCCTGGTGCTCGAAACACAGAAACTGACAGCGAATTAGAACGATGCTGTGACCAACAAGGTCTGCCCCGGTTTCTGCTCCGACTGCACGCTCGGCGACAGCGATGGTCACCGTGTCTGCAACTCCCCCTCCAAGCAGATGGACGGCGATGGCTTCTCGAACGCCTGCATTGCTGCCGGTGCTATGGGCAGCGAGTAAGGAGCTTGATTAAGGTAGCTTAGATCAGCCGTATGTTTTGTAGCCAAGCCTTTTAGTCTCAAACCACTGCTCGAATGAGATGAGCTAAATTGTACCTGTTACCCGAGATGCGTGAATTAATGTACCACACTTGAATAGACTTCAGTTGTATGTCTTAACGCTTCAACTCTTGTATCTGTGCAATTGTGGACCCCTATACGTCCTACGGCTCTTCGTTGCTGAAGTCACGACTACTTCATTCCTATAGTTGCCGCTTTAGTCATCAGCCTCTGTGGACTCTTTATAAGAGAAAGCGCCCAAACCAGGCAAGATCGGGTAATTTACAGTACAGAATAGACTTAAGAGATCCTTACCAAGATGCCCTATCAATAGTTCCCAATTGAGCTTCTATAATCTTGGCTATTTCCCTTTGGGCCACAGCAAAGTAGTGAACCCTGCCCAAACTTTAGAGAGGTGTTTAAATATACTATCTTTGGCTCAGAAAGCAAACTCGTAGCCTATAATGAGCTTGGTATGGAGACTGTGGGCAGATGCTTAGGACCTTGGATGCAGAGTCCGGGGTCTTAAACTTACTGTAGAATCTCTTCTAACCAAGAGTTACGTTTCTGCACGGAAAGACAATACCAACTGCCGCGTACCCGCTCGCGCAATGTTACACAGGATGGCATCATCCCCAACAACCCCGGTAAGACGTCTAAACGATATTTAAAGGAAAGGTCGTCGTCCAACCACAACTTGCAGATATAAAGACCAGATAAGCGATCGGGAAAATAACTACATCCTCTTTATTGCCGAGCCATTTTGCCATGGGTGCGCGAGTCTGGATCCTCATCGGGAGAACCCCGACACACGGGCGCTGGTGATGTGCTCCGATGCGGCGTTGACGACTTTACCAGAGCATCATCTGTCTGAGGTTTCGTCGAACGTGGCAACGATAAATACTCTTTGGTAAAGACGATGTTGCTTTGGTATCGATAGTTCCTTCCGGTACTGTTGCAAGTCCAAATCCGATTTCAGACTCATACGCCATGTCAACTCCGTCGGTTCGCCGTTGGTACCACTGGTTTGCACCTACCGATAGCCCAGAGGAGAGGAAACTGATCCTCAAACTCGACTTTCTCATCGTACCATATGCTTTGTATGTCTTGATGTTTCTGCATGGTCTCTTCGACAAGACTGACCATACATCCGCAGCATCATCTACTGGGTCAAGTACATCGACCAGATCAACATCAGTAAGCGACCCTTCAAGACAAAATTTGAAGGTTTTCGTTGCAGCTAACAACAACATAGACAATGCCTACGTTTCTGGAATGGCCGATGAGCTCGGCTTCCACGGCAATGAGCTCGTCCAATTCCAGACCATCTTCGTCGTGGGCAACGTAGTCGGTCTTTTGCCGTTTATCTACCTGTTTCCAAGAGTTCCGATGCATGTGCTTGTTCCGACCCTAGATCTAGGTTGGGGCCTGTTTACCCTGCTGCAGTACCGTGCTCAGAGCTACGCGGAAATTATGGCATATCGATTCATGGTGGCCATCTTCGAAGTGAATTTTCTCTTTTACCTCGGCCGTCTTGGATTGAAGCTAACATGCAGAGCAGGCCTCGTACTTCCCAGGAGTTCACTTCGTCCTCGGTTCATGGTATCGAAGCGACGAGATCGGCCGCAGAGGCGGCATCTTCTATATCGGTCTTACCCTTGGCACCTTGACAGCATCCTTACTGCAAGCGGCAGCAGTGACATACCTCGACGGGACCCACGGCCTAGCCGGCTGGCGCTGGCTCTTCATCATCAACGCAATCATCACACTACCTCTCGCGGTAATCGGATACTTTGTCTGGCCCGGAACACCTGCAAAGCCAAACAAGCTGCTCATGAAGGAGTCCGAACTCGAGCTGGCACGTTCGCGTCTGGAAAAGGCTGGCGCATCAGTCAAGAGCACACCCTTCTCCTTGAACCTTTTGAAACGAGTCTTTACGAACTGGCGATTTTACGTCTTGATCATCTGGAATATTCTCTTCTTCAACACCAGTGCAAACAGCGCGGCGTTCTTGCTGTGGATCAAGAGTCTCGGCAGATACAGCACAGCTCAGATGAATAACCTGGCTGCGCTAAGCCCCGGGCTGGGAATCTTCTTCGTTCTGTTCATCAACTTTAGCGCAGACTTGTGGATTGGGCGCCCTGCTGCAATCACTCTGGCGTCAGCGATCAACTTCTCGGGACTGGTCATATTGGCCATCTGGAACGTGCCGGAAGCCGCAAAGTGGTATGCATTTAGCACCACATACTCTGCGGTTGCGGTCTCCTCGGTGCTGTACGGATGGGCCAACATCATCCTCAAACACAATATTGAGGAGCGGGCTTTGACATTGATCCTCATGACGGCCATCGCCACATCTACAAACGCGTGGATTCCGCTGTTTGTGTACCCAACCGTCGAAGCCCCAAGGTTTCCCAAGGGCTATGTGTACTCTGCCGTCATGGTTGTGCTGCTGGTTATCATGACGCAGGTTGTGAGGCTTTTGCTAGGTTCTCATGGGTAAGCTCGCTTGATCATGAGCAGTGGAAGGCCAAGAGCTAACTTTTTGCTAGGGAGAAGAGGATACGCAAAGCTCAGGATAGTGATAGTACTGCGGGATTTAGTGACGGGCATCCATCAACGAGCTACCAGACGTCTGATCAGAAGGGGCCTACGCCTGTAGTTGCGGCAGTCTGATTATGCGGTCATGGTGAGCTCAAAGGAAAGAGGTAGTAAAGGTGGAATCACCAGCAGATTCCACTTCATGGGAGACTGGTATTCGTTGACGATAGTGGCAACGCCAGTGACATCTTCGCGGCATTCCCGTAGGAGAATGATCTTTTCGTAACCAAATGCCGTCGATAGTTGTAAAACACTAACGTGTTGAATTGATTAACACAAGTTATACGTCTTTTCCTGAATATGTGGCGTGAAATCTGAGCGAGAAAAGGTCTCTGGACGGTAATGGTGATGATACGAGGCCACATCGATGCTTGCACATTAAACATGAACACTGCCTCGTGATCTGAAAACAGAGACAATTTGTGATATTCTTCTAGACTTCATCAATTCATCGCAATTATAGTCTTCTACCGCAGCCCATCCCCTCCTAAGCGACCTAATATCCCTCCCTCTTGTTCACAAGGTTTGCCAACTTCTTCCCCTCACTCAACCTCTTCAAATTCAACTCCAAAATCCCCAAAACCCTATCCCCATAACTCGTAGACAACCCGCTAATATGCGGCGTGATCAACAGATTCTTCGCCTTCCAAAGCGGGTGGCCATCAGGCAACGGCTCCGGATCCGTAACATCCAGCGCCGCCCCTCGAATCGTCCCCTCCTCCAGCGCCGTAATCAAATCATCCGTATTAATAATCGGACCACGCGCGATGTTCGAAATGAACGTCTTCTTCTCCGCCAAGATGCCAAACTCCTCGGCCGAGAGCAGGTGACTCGTCTTATCCGTCAACGGCGTCGCGACGACCAGCAAATCGAGCCCGGAACCCAAAAAGGCGTGCAGGTCAGCCTTGGAGGCGCCCGAGAACCATTTGGAGGGGAACTTGCCCTCCGGGTCGCCGAGCCCGGGGGGCGTGTAGGAGTCGTCGCGCTTGGATTCGGGGGTCGGGCGCGGGTGGAGGGTGTAGGCGTGGACTTTGAAGCCGAGGGCGGTGGCGACGCGGGCGGTTTGTCTGCCGATGCTGCCGTAGCCGAGGATGCCTCTGAGGATCTGTGAGAAATGGGTCCTGGGGCGTTTGGGTATGAGTGAGGGGGCTTACATTGTGCGGCCGACTGCGTCTTCCACGAAATCGTTGCCGCGTTGCCAGTGGCCGGAGCGGTAGTTGTCGATGTATTTAGGAACTGGGCGTTGAAGTTAGATGAGTGATTCCGGGAATATCTACGATTGCGATGGGGTATCTCTTACGTTGATGCTGGAACGAGAGGAATGTTGTTATGATCCATTCAGAAATCTGAGGTCTAGGGTTCTCATGTCAGTAGGAAGCCCTCATCCAGAAATCTGAACGACAAATCTCACCCATGGACACCATTCGCCGTGCAAAAGCTCACATCCGTATCCTTGAACAACGGGTCTGTGAGGATGTGATTGGCGCCAGCGCTCTGAAGCTGGACGTAGTGCAGCTTGGGCGCGTCCTCGATGGCGGGCAGGGCGCTGCCAGTCAGCAGGATCGTCACGTCCTTCCACTCATCATGGTTGAAGCTGTCTTTCGGTTTCCTGTCGGCCCAGCCTAGCTCGTGATGCACCACCTTCAGGTCGGGGAACTCGGCGCGCACCCTGTCAAGCCATTCCTGCGGCAGCGGGAATTGCGAGAGGACTAGAAGCTTGTGACCCTTGAGGGTCTTGTTCGGTGGCGGGAGGAGCATGATCATTGGTGTGGTGGGTTGTTTTATGAGGGACGCCTCAGGGGGAGGATCTCAGGAGTGAGAGAGGAAGTTGGGCGATAAGCTTGGTTTTATAGCTTATAAAGCAACGCTGAGGTAAACTCGGGATGAGATGAAAGCCGTTTGTGTGAGTTTGAGAGTCTGAGAAGCTCCGACGGGATTGGAGGGTTTGGTTTCGTTTCAGCTGATGATCGCACAGTAAAGCAGGCCAAGCTTCTCAAATCTCCAACCGTCGCACTTTCAATCCCACCATCGGCATCTTTATGGGATTCGTCGGGGTGCGGGGAGCTGCTTTGCGCATCGCAGGGTCGAATTGCGCAACAGGCAGGTCGGAAAGCCGCCGATGCGACCGATGGCCGGGGTGGGGGGAACACCAATGAACCAAGCCAAGGACTTTAATTCCTATGTACTACTCTCACTGTAGAACTGTGTTGGGGGGAGAGGGCGCTCTTGGGGTTCAGACGGCTCGGTCAATGGCGTGCGGCAACATCGTCCATGTCATCATCACTGAGCAAGGATAAGGACCGTCCTGGTCCAATTGTGAAGCGGCATTGGCTGTATTAGCATCAACTTATCAATCCGTCCCGGACCGGTGTCGGCGACGGGTTGGAGATGCGGTGTTGGATACGGTTCTCCCGCCGTACACCAGTCTCAACTCCCGTTCTAAACGCCGGGCCTCATACATTTGTGCGTATAAGAACGCCATTGGGTTTTGAAGTAGACGGAAGACTTTCATTCACTCCTAGTACCTGCATCGATGACTTGACATATGACAGTGTACTCTAATTGACCGGGGTCTTCGGAATGATACGCTGATGCTTTGTAATTCACGATAAGAGTGATTTCGCTGCTCAACTCCACAACTAAAACCCATGCTCTTGGCGATTTCATTTATGACACCTCATCGATCAAATGAGATGCTATAGATACTCACAAAGACTCCTTAAGCTTTGCTCTTTGTGTAGCCCAATGAGTACGATCATGAGAGCCCATATGAAACATCCAAGCAGGCGGTGAAAACGACGAGTCAATTCTGCCGGGACAACTGAGGGGGCCTGCATACAAGCTTCCCCACCACATGACATGAGGCGCGCCCTTGACGATCGTTTCTAACATCTTATGGATACGTTGTAGAATACAGTAGAGGTACAAATACTGCCTCTCGATCACGACATTTGAGGCTCTGCTAGCCTTTCATATCGTAGTCTCACTCATCATAGAATTACAGTAGCAACCATCTTGTACACTTGAAGATGGCATCTGTCCGACACGCCCGCCGGGAGGGTAAGGCACTCCATCTCCGGAACCATGGCAGACGGGGCCCAGGACTGACACCCCACCAGATATCCCCACCATCCTAAGCCTCATCAGAGAGCTCGCAGACTACGAGCACGAGCTCGACAGCGTCCTTGCCACAGAAGAGACCCTCGGCGCCACAGTCGCCTTTGCGCCCTCGTCACCCCAGGAAACAACCTACACGCCAGGCAAACCCCAAACGGAGCCCACATCGCCGTCGAAACCCGCGCGTTGCCTCCTCCTCTTCAACGAGGCCGGCGAGGGCGTCGGCATGGCCCTCTACTTTTACAACTACAGCACCTGGCGCGCCAAGCCGGGCGTCTACCTCGAGGACCTCTACGTGCGTCTGTCGGAGCGCAAGAAGGGCTACGGCAAGCGGCTGCTCGTCGAGCTGGCCAAGGAGGTCGTCGCCATGGAGGGCGGACGGCTCGAGTGGTCCGTCTTGAAGTGGAATGAGCCGAGTATCAAGTTTTACGAGTCCATTGGCGCAAAGGCCATGAACGACTGGGTTGGCATGCGCGTCGATGGCGACGCCCTGCCGAAGCTGGCTGGCTTGCTTGATTCGTGAGGAGGCCAGTCTCTACCGAAAGAAGAAAAAATAGTTACAGTCATATAATACATCGTTAAAGTATGAGACCAGCAACACAGCTAATCCAGAGGATACCTTTCTGAGATGCTCTCCCTCACTATCTGTGGCATTCTTTTGCCTGTAAGAAAAATGATCCGGCCATTCTAGTACACGGACTCTCGATATCTCGGCTTTCTAGCCTCCCTGGGCGCCTTTGGCTTGATGGGTATGTTAGAGGCGGTATGACGTCTGTCATACCAATGAATTTGTCCGCCTATTTTGACGTCAAAGATGCTCTCCTCGAGTCACTCGAATTGGTGTCGCGTGTGTCTCGCTGCCTGTGATCTCTAGACTTGGAGAGCTTGAAGTTTCCAAAGCTACCTGCCGTGCTGTCGAGTTGACGCGGAGGCCTGGATAGCTTGGGATTCTTAAAGTCACGGGGCCTTGCTACAAAGTCGCCAGGAGTTCCGGGCTTCTCGGAATCAGGCGACTTAGACCGAGGCTCGAAAGTCGCACCGGCGTCACCACCAGAACTGACGGGTTTTGCACTTCTAGACTGGGCTTTCTCATCCCCAGGCACAGCAGTACTGCTCGTGTTTGTAGACTCGTGTCGCTCTGATTTCGGTACGCGGCCTTGGGCATCGACGCCTTCGAAGAAATGATGATGCGTCGCAGTGACCACGGGCAGTTCTAATTCCACGCGACCCCACACAGGCCTTGCCGATTTGCTCTGGCCCCCCTTCATATATGAGGTTGCCTGCCACATCTTGAGATATTCACGCCGCACAGCGCGCTTGGAGAAGGCGCGGCGTTTGACATTCTCAATTACAATTCGGTCCCTCTTCTCATTGTGTCCAAGACGGAGGCGACGTGCTTGCGAATATGGTCCAAGGTCCTTCTCGCCGGTGAGCAATTCGAGCTCTCGTTGACTTGGTCGTTCAGTCTCGCGAACAGGGATTAGGGCGGAAGACTGCCACTCCCACGGTTCCCGCGGTTCCTGCGATTCCCATTCGTCTCCATCGTTGCCAGAGAGTATCGAAGACCGCTCGCTAGTCATGGCATCTTGAGGCGCTTCGACGGGGCCGCCGGCGATAGGTCGTCGTCTCAACATCCTGTACATCTCAAGAGGCGCCTCTCCGGATGCGAGCTGCTGTAAAGACTCCCAATTTGCCTGGGATACCGGAGGCATGATTTTGTCGGCCTGGGCCTTCCAGAACTTTCTTGTGAGTTTCGTTACTCTCCGCAATGCGACTGGACGACCCCAGCCGTCCTTCTCGGGTACATCTTTTTCTGGATCAAGATCGCCGATTGTGCCTCTAGGAAAGGCAGCGCCCGTGGTGTTACGCTGGTGGCTCTTTTGCGCCCTGAGGTATCGATCCAGCTTGGGAAGGTCCCAATTTTCTTCCATAGGACTGAGATGTTGCCGAAGCCAGGGCGTGGGCTCGTCCCAGGTGTATTCGCGGTTCCAAGGATGGATTTTGGCGCGCTTTTCCATCATCTTTTTATGCTCTTCCTTTTTCTTTGCGAGCTCTTCTAGCTTGGCAGGGTCGGCCTTGGGGTCCGGCGCCTTTTGGACAAATGAGGCCATAAGCTCGCGGCGGGATTTGCCAAGTCGGCCAAAGGCATGCCACATGACACGCCGTAGACGGGCTTGATCGCCTTCAACAGCAGCCTGAAGTACAGGAACCTTGTGTTTTGCGTCGGCAAGGACCTTTTTGCGCCGGTCCTCTTCCCTTTCTCGAGCTTCTGCTGAGTTGAGGGACCCGGGGATGTTGAGCTCGCTTTCAGCCATCCTGTCCCGCTCGTCTCGAAAAGCCGTCCGTATGCGATGATCGAGGAACGGTCGTATTGAGGGAGGAAAGTAGGTGGCAGAGCGCAGCAGGTGGCGGTAGACATGCAACGGCTGCACTGGCCGTGGCAAAGGTATTCGAGTCTGCATTGCGGCGGTATCGGTGAAGGCCTTCGTCGCAGAGGACGGACAGGACGGCGAAAGAGGGAGGAAAGGTCAATCGGAAGGTGAGGATGTTAGGGCGAGACTGGTCTTTTCTTCATCGTGGTTGTTGCAAGGTCGGGCGGAAACGCATGTGCGATGTCGAGCAGGATGCATGCAGATGACAATGCAGAGGAGCACCAAGCTACCTTAGAAGAAACTGCCCTGACAGGACCTGCACTGTCCCCTTGCGCCGCTGCTCCCCGTTGGCTCGTTGATTCGGCTGGGTTGAGTCCGACTGGCCCAAGCTCCGGAGGTGGGGCCTTTAATCGGCTGGCGGTCGGCTTACCTCTGAACTTGAGAATTCACAAAGACAAGTAAGAAGACACGGAGTAGATATATAGGGATATATAGGAACAGTGACATGACTTTTGTCTAAAAGCTGAATATCAAGGCACTGTCTTACTTCCTACGCCAAGTGCAAGATCAAGTCCCTACTCAGAGGCTGATGAGAACAATAGGGAAGGTGAGCTGTGACTTGATTATACGTGACTGAGAGCATTGCACACGTCGTATTGTACTCCGTACGTACCTTGCCTTATGAGGTGACGGATGAGTGGATGAGTGGGAGACTCGACATGAGCGTTTTGACTGCCCCTCATTTTGCTATGAGATGAGAATCATGCTTGAGTTCCATTCCATGACCCCTCAGGGCGGGGGGGGGGGGGGGGGGGGGGGGGGGGGGGGAAAAGGGGGGGGGGTGGGGGGGGGGTGGGGGGGGGGATTCTTGTGTTGGTGGGTGGGCTTCTGGGGTGGGGGGGGGGGGGGGGGGGGGGCGGGGGGGGGGGGGGGGGGGGGGGGGGGGGGGGGGGGGGGGGGAGGTGGCAGAGACGCGATAAGAGGTCTGATAAGTGTGGCCGTGAATGGAAGCAGCGCCTGCCCAGTGAGTCGAGAGTGAGACGCGTCACGCCCTTTCCTTCCACTTTCAAGAACGCGTTGGAGGGAAGCAGGGGCCCAGGAGGAACCTTCCGCTTCCTGGAGGTCGGCGCACAGTCAGAAAGATACGTACGTTCCCAAGGTACTTTGCCTTGCGTACCTACTACCTACCTTAGGTAATGTATCGTTGAACGTGAGAATGGTGGCCTGTGCATCTCGCTTCACAAATGGGAAAGCACCAATTCTCCCCCTCCTCCCTTCCCAAGTTCCCGCCCTTGAGTCAGCCGTCTCCCCCCGTTCCTTTCCACTACTTCCAGGTTCCCAGCCAGCGAGCGCACAGCGTGCCGTAAATTGAGACGCGCGACACGCTCACATCGCAAGACACGCCCTCGCGAAACAGACACGTCCCCAACACCGTTAATTGAAATTCCCATTTCGGGCCCAGTGCCGCGGGCCCTTTTTCATTTTCGGACCCGGCAACCAAAGCGACGAATACTCGCAGTTGTGAACTCTGTCAGATATCCACTTGCTCTCCAGTCTGCCGTTGTCTGGACGCTCCAATCTCAACCTCATCCTTCTTCCTTTGGTGGCACTTTTTTGCGCCTTTCTGAACCTCAAATCCACCGCCTCTTTCTGCTCTTGGCTCGAACCCGAAAGACACCTCTTTCTCTCCCTTGGAGAATAGCCGCCTACCACCCAAACCTCGCCTTCGCATCCTTCCACTCACAACCCACGACTCTACTCTGCTGCTGCTGCTGCTGCTGCTGCTTGTCCCTCCAGCTGCCCTGCTTTGATCTTCCATCATCCGTCGTTACTGCTACCTGTGGCATAGCTACTGCATCCGCATACCTAGTACCGAGAGAGTCGATACCCAGCACAACGCACACAAAGCACCCGGTCAAAGGTGGCGCAACGCAAAGCACCGCAAAGCAACGCACCGCACAACGAGCCCCCAACCAAAGACCAAAGGGAACAAGACGGCCGCGGTTGCACGCATTTCGCATTTCGAATCAGCGCATCCCCCAAATCCACTCTGTGACCTCTTCATCTTCTCAACCTCTACAACTACAAGGCCAAGCCATACCTCTCAACGTCGATTGATCGCCTCATTTATATAGAGCTCCGTTCCTCTACAACCCCTCTCCCCTCCTCTCCACCTACCGATCACATCGCCTTGCCATCGGTTGCTCGCTGCCAATGTGCTAGCGCTGGCACATGTCTTCGACCACCCTCACAACTGCCCAACCCTCCCACTCCCTCAATTCCCGCCGCAAATCCTCCTTGTCCACCGCCCGACACCAAGATAACCGCGGGAATCCCGCTTCTACAGCAGTGATGCCTTCCGCATCGCAATCACAGCCATCATCCCAACAGTCTTTCACAATGAGCCAGCAATCTCAGGGCGGCTACCGAGCCTATGGAGGGGACTCGAGGCTCGCCAATGAGGCCCCGCAGATTTACAGCGTAAGTACCGGTCTTGCTTGTGGTCGCGCTACCCCAATGTCGCAGTTCACCATACTGGACAGTTGCACTGACAAGCGCAACTAGGCCGTCTATTCCGGTGTCGACGTCTACGAGATGGAAGTTAATGGTGTCGCCGTTATGCGCAGGCGGCAAGACAGCTGGCTCAATGCCACACAAATCCTCAAAGTGGCCGGTGTCGACAAGGGAAAGCGCACAAAGATACTCGAAAAGGAGATCCAGACTGGCGAGCATGAAAAGGTCCAGGGAGGATACGGAAAATATCAGGGCACCTGGATCAAGTTCGACCGAGGCGTCGAAGTCTGCCGTCAATACGGCGTAGAGGAGGTCCTGCGCCCCTTGCTGACGTACGACATGGGTCAGGATGGAGGAGTGGCAGGCCGAGGAGACTTCAATACCCCGACCAAGGAGCAGGCCATGGCTGCGCAGAGGAAACGAATGTACAATGCCGGGAACGAGGCAAGGACGAATGCCATGGCCGGTCTCAACGGCACCTTTTTCAAAAATATTTCAACCACGGCGTCGCACGCTGTCGCTGCTATCAGCAAGGCACGATTCGACTCGCCTGGCCCGAGAAGCCGTAACGGACCAACCAAGGCGCCCAGCTTCAGCCGCCAGAGCTCTATGCAAAATGGCGATGACTTCCCGGGCAACTCACAGCAAAGCTTCGCTTCCGACTACGGTAACCAGAACGACTCGGCCTATTCGACCCAGCAAACAAGTCAGCAGTTCGATGGCCCAGAGCCGCCTAGGAAGCGACAGCGGGTAACCATGACACCGCAAGACAGCTTCGGATACAACAACAACTCTATGGAGATGTACCAGAACCAGTTCCCCGGATCGCCCACAGAACCCAACGAATCCTTCATCTACTCTCAAGCGAATGCCCCGCCACACGACGGCCACAGCCCTCTGAGCCCTCTACCATTCGAAATGTCCCCTGATGCGGAAGCGAAGCGTAGCATGCTCATGAGCCTCTTCATGGACTCAGCAACCTCGGATCAGTCAAAGCATGAGATGCTGCGGACATTAGCCCCCATTGAACTGGATATGCCTATCGATCAGCAAAGCCATACTGCCCTACACTGGGCGGCTACGTTATCACGTATGTCTCTCTTGCGGGCGCTCATTGCAGCAGGCGCCAATCCTTTTCGAGTCAATGCCTCTGGAGAGACCGCTCTGGTCAGGGCATGTGTTGTGACAAACTCCATGGACCTGGGACAGTTTCCCGATCTCCTTGATGTTCTCGGAAGCACTATCGAGGTTCGCGACAGCAAGGGACGGACCGTTTTGCACCATATTGCCATGACGAGCGCCGTAAAGGGCAGGAACGCGGCAAGCAGGTATTACCTCGAAAGCCTCCTGGAATGGGTCGTGCGACAGGGCAGCAATCCCAACGGGCAACTCGCTGCCAATGGAAAGGGAGAGAGCGCTCCAGCCAGCTCACAATCTCAGCCATCATCACAGCCCAAAATGGGTATCGCTCGCTTCATGTCGGAGATTGTCAATGCCCAAGACCATGCCGGCGACACGGCCTTGAACATCGCAGCACGGATAGGCAACCGAAGCATCATCTCACAACTGCTAGAGGTCGGCGCTGACGGCGAAATTGCCAACCGCGCTGGTCTGCGGCCCGTAGACTTCGGCATTGGGGGTGAACCTGCGGACGAAGCTTCCAAGATCATCAACGGAACCAACGGCAACGCAACAAATGGAGATGTCGAGAAGAACGGACTCGTCAGCAGTGAACCAACAAAGGAAAGCAGTGATGACATTATTTCATGTAAGTTTGATGTCCCCCTTTTACCACATCACCAAACTGACATTCCATCAGCGATTACACATCTCCTTACCGAAGCAAGCTCGACTTTCCAAAGCGAAGTGAAGTCAAAACAGGCCGTCATCGAGTCTCTCCACACCACCCTCCGCACAACATCAGCCCAACTAGGCGAGGCCAAGAGAAACCTCGAAGCCATGCAAGCAACTTTGCGCAAGCAGCAACTCGCGCGGCAAAAAGTTTCAAACCTGAGCCACGCCCGCGAAGAAGAACAAGTGCGCCTCACGCAGGAACAGAATCGGGCGGGGCGAACGAATGCCCTCTCATCGTCATGGGAGACGGAACTCAGCGCGGCGCTCGAGACGGCCGGCACGAATGGCGAAGGCGGCCTTTTGCCTTCGGCGGCGACCCTCAAGGCGAGATTAAGCGCCGTGTCAGCAAGACGGGACGTTACGCGCAAGATGGCGGGTGCGCTCAAGGGGAGGAGCAAGGACCTCGAGGTCAAGTACCGGCGCGTGGTGGCCATGTGTACGGGGGAGCCCGAGGACCAGGTCGATGCTGTCGTTGATGGTCTGTTGAGGGCGGTGGAGAGCGAAAAGGGCGAGTTGGAAGTTGAGCGTGTGAGGCGGTTCCTCGGCGGCGTCGAGGGTGTGGTGCACTAAGGGACTCTACCTACTGTGTGGTGTTGCGTCTCAACAGGATGGAAAGAGAAGAGAGAGAAGTGCTCTCAGGAGAGAGAGCTATTTTGTGTGGATATTGTCATACCCCTATGTTGGAGAAGCATCCTTTTTTTTTTATTCACGCCAATCCGATCGTTTTGGCAAGTATTCGTATATTCGAAAGAGGAGTGGTGGTCTTTTGCCTGGTTTTTATTTTACTCAATGGCGTTGGAGGGGAGTGAGGAACGCAAATCAGGAGATGCGCGCGCGAGGCTCAGCTCAGAATATCATGATATTATTTATTCGTCTTGGCCATACAAGACGAGGCTTTCAACCATTACAAGTCTTTTTTCGATCTTCAAGACTCGTTGAGGTTTTCCAAAACGTCCTCATGCCTAAGCTATCTTTTGAATGTTTTGCCCACCTATGAACTAAGGTATCCCAGGGGTGGTGGTGGTACCAAGCTTCTTGACTTTGTCTGTTCCCTCCCCAAAACGCCTTGCAATGCTGCTGTGAGATTCTGAAATAAAAAAGCATCGACTCGCTTGTCCTTCTTCTCCTCTTTCCTTTCTTTTTCTCTGACTAGTCCTTCCCTGCTTTCGTCTTTCCTAGGCAGTCTAGTCGTGACAGTCCTCACCTTGCCAGGCCAGACGCATAAAGGCCCTCCCATCGTTCCTCGACACCGCCCACCAACTTCTTGGCTCTCTCAATCTCTCTGTTCAGTTCCTCCACATTGCGCGTAAGCGCACTAACCTCCTCAAACCGTCTCGCATCCCGAGCAGAGTCCACCATTTGCTGCACCATGAAGCGCTGCTCCTCCAGGACCACCAAACGCTCACGAGCCTCCTTCTCTTCCGTCTCGAGCGCTGATACGGCAGTGCTGGTCTCGCTTGCCTGGCTTGCTGTTTCGGATTCGGCGAGCTCTTGATTACGGAGGGGCGAGAGGTGGAGGGATGACGAGGACCCATTCACGTTGCCAGACTGCAGGGCTCGGAGGCGAGAAGCCTGTGATGAACGAGAGCGTAGGATTTGTGGCACCGACTTGAGGGTCAACATATGGGTATGTAGGAACGTAGAGGCGGCAGCGTAGACGGCTTGCTGTAAGCGAAGCTGTGTCTTGGAGGTAGTTTTCATGTCGCGGAGTCGACGGGCGGCCGTATCGTATTTGGTAAACGCATCGGTAAGGCGTTTCCTGATTTTTGAAGCCTCCTGAATCTGAGCATGTGTGGGAGGTGGTTTTGATGATTCGACCCCATCGTCCCCCTCTGGCTGGAGAGCAAGTAATGTTCGTTGGAAGATGGGCATAAGCTGGCGAATACCGCGCTCGAACTGGCGCAATGTCTCGTATGCTCGCTGGTCAGCTGGCTTGTGGGAGATGGTTGACGCAAAGTCGCGCTTCGCAAATATTGTGTGATTGCATTCGCGGCACATGCGAACGTCGATGCTGAGTTGGCCAGGCTGTGCCGCTGTTGGGGGCTTCTCCGTCGCAGGGCTCGTAGCTGAGACTGTTAGGCGCGACACGCGTGAAAATGATGCCGTAGATTGAGACTCACGACTGGCAATGCTCAAGCCCACCTCACTCGAGCAGCCTGTAAGTGGATCGGCGCAGACCACCCTGCCACATATGCGGCAGTGGTGTCTTCTAAACGTCCAAGATCCAAACTCTTGTTGACAATATGGGCATTGCGTGACGGAGGCGTCATCTTCCCAAGTAACAACCGACTGCTCAATCAGTTTCCTCTGGTTCTTTTGACCCGCAAGAGCGGCGACAGGCGACAGCAGACTTCCTCCATTTGTCGTGACATCTTCGGGCGCATTCGCAAGCAACTGCGTCAGCTTGGTCAAACGCTTTTCCAGCCTAGCCACTTCGAGATTCTGCCTCTCGACCCTCTTCCGTCGCATCTCCGCAAACGTTGAGGTGTGATCAATCAGGACACCGTTGTGGTCGTTGTAGCCATCTCTCGACTTGTAACACGTCTCGCAGACTCGGACCCAGTATCCCCGCACGGGGTCGTGCTGGGCAGACCTCGACAACTTCATCTGGTACATGGTGTGCTCCTCGCAGAATAACCTGCCGCAATTCCTACAATTGATGCTTCCATTGACAGCTCCAAGGCCTTTCCCGCACGTCGGGTCGGTGCATCGGTCGTTGCTCGTTTGTCGTTGCCAATGCGATCGTGTAATGAGCTCGTCCGGGTCTATCGGTCCCTCAATGAGCTTCGCAGTCGTAGGCGGGGCAATGGGCAGGGACTCGTTGGATTCGAAGACGTCAAGACCTCGCAATTTTTGGTTGATTATAGACAGTGGTTGGAACCGTTTGGCCTTGAGCACCTGCTTGTCGAACCAGGTGCGGACCTCATCTTGTTCGACTTCGGGAAGTTCTTGGTGGTTATCGTCGATGTGTCTGAGGAGGGAGGGTCAGAGACTAGAGTTCAGTGTCGCAAGGAGGCAAAGACAAATTCACCTGTTGAGTTGAAGCAGGGTCAACTGTGGTTTACCATTAGCAAGCCTCTCTCATGAACGACAAACGTTGGAACAGACCATTTCCTCTTCGCATATTGGGCAGACTAGCTTGGAACTGGAAGTAGCGGCTCTAGAGGGGCCTCCAACACTAATGTTGGAACCAACATCTTGGGCAAAGTCGGGTAAAGGGCTCGAGACTGGAGGCGAAGCCGAGGAGGAGTTGAGCGACAGAGTGCTTTCTGAGGGAGCAAAGGGACTGGGTGTGCGTTGGTGCCCGTTGATAGCAGGAGGCGTGGGAGGGGCGAGGCCTTTGCCGCTGCCCAAGATGCGGCCGCCTCCCAGCTTGCGGCCGGACATCGTGGAAAACGGAAAGACGATAGCTACGAGACCATGAATCGGAGGTGGAAAGGAGGGGACGTCGATGTTGTTTTGCTCGGGTTGTCTCGGCGGGATCGGAATTTGAGTGTGTTGGAAGGGCGGGGGGGGTTTTGATGGTGTAGATGGCAGATGGCAGATGACAGACGCAGGTCGCAAGTGCAAGTGGTTCGTGGCGGTGGTTCGTCTTCACGGGTGACGGCCCCGTCACCTCAGCTCACGGGCACCTCAGTGGAGGGCAGGATGGTTCCAGTTCCAGTTGCAGTTCCAAGTTGTAGGTTCCCGCGCAGCCCGTCAGGCCTCTTCCCTGCCCAGGGATTGGAGAGAATCAGCAGCAAAGCAGTGGGCGGACGGCAGGCGGACGGCGGGCGGGAAAGGCAATGGCAGGCAATGGCAGGGCGGTAGGGGAGGACGACAGGGGTTGGGGAGCAACGCATTCGGCGGGATTTGGAGACCGGGACGCTAAAGACATGCGCTAAAGGCTGCGCTAGTGGACACACGCGCTGACCAGGGCCCACAGACAGGGGGAAGGCGGGGCAGCCGTGTGCCGACTGATACAGAGGTACTTCTATCAACACCCATGATGAGCCATGGACGAGGTATACATCTATCGTGCAGACCGCCATTGCGTTCCTCGGTGTGGGGACGCCAGCCTTATCGACGGCCTTTGCGCCTTATCGCCCCCGACCTGGCAGCTGCATCTCTCCAAAACTGCTGCCCAAAAAGTTGCCTTCGTCATCGAGGAACTCCAGAGTCAAATCTCGTCCCATAAACCACCACCTTCACCACGCACCACACATACACAACATGGCCGCCAAGTCGACAACGAAGAAGTTCCCCGAAGTCAAGGGCGGAGGCAGTCTGATTCTGGCATGGCAGATCAAGGGAAAGAAGGTTCTGGTTGTTGGAGGAGGCGAGGTACGTTATGTTGCACACCCCATGCTGCTGCATCTCCGCGGCGTAGCTAGAGCTCTCTCTCACACACACACACACACCAGAAATGACTCTTCCCTCGTGCCATACTATTGCCGTCGTACCATATTGTTGAATGCTAATTGTCTGTCTGGAACAGGTTGCCGCCGGTCGGATCCTCAACTGCCTCGATGCCGATGCCAATGTCACCGTTGTCTGCCCCGCCTCTGGCCTCAACCCCGAAGTAGCCCACCGTGTTGAACAAGCCAAAGTTACCCACATCGATCGTCTCTTCGAACCCTCTGACTTAGATGGCGCAGCCATGGTTCTTGTTGCCATTGACGACCCGGCCGCCTCTACTGTAATCTGGAAGTTGTGCAAGGAGCGCAAAGTGCCCGCCAACATCGCCGACGTACCCCCAGAATGCGATTTTTACTTTGGCAGTGTCCACCGTGACGGCCCCCTTCAAATTATGGTTAGCACCAATGGCAAGGGCCCCAGACTGGCTGCCATCATCCGGCGGCATATCGCAAAGTCACTTCCCAAGAACGCCGGCAACGCCATCGAGGCCATTGGTACACTCAGGGCGAAACTGCGCAAAATGGCTCCGAACTCGGAGGAAAGCCCTAAGCGCATGGGCTGGTACGTCTGAACCCTTGTCTGGGGAGTTCTACTTTACTGTTACTGTAAGAGATGCTTACAATTGAGCAACAGGATGATCAAAGTCAGCAACAAGTTCGACTGGGAGGAAATCTGCGATCTCACCGACGAGGACATGGAGAACCTTCTCAGATTCTATGCGACAAACGAGGTGCCTACAATCGACGACCTCTTAGCCATGAGGGAAAACCCTGGCTTCAACAAGATGGACGTGTTTGACGGGTCCTTTGGTTTTTCCGTAGGCGCATGATACATACCAAAGACATGTACATATCTTGTGTACGTACATACTGGATATGGGTGTTTGAGCGATATTGGGCGTCTTTTCATTGGAGTTATCTAGAGTGCTTCATTGGCGACATCTCACGACATAAAAGGGGTTTCGGAACTTAAAAAGGGCCAGGCGCAATATGGCATGACTGGCATAGAATCTTTGGCTTGGAGCAGTGTACTACTATGCGAAAAAGAAGACTAGAAGGCGCGTTATCGAGCCTGCATCTTGACTTCATACCTTTCGACTGAGATAAGAGCTCAGGGAGATATGTTGTACTTGGCGAATGTGGTCTAGCATGGATTGGCTGGGCTTGGATTCGAAATGTAGTGTGCAATTTTCATCTCAAGGCTCATACGATATTTTCTCCTAATCATTATGCTGGAATTTGTTATGAAGACGTTCAACTGTGGAAGCAGCTAGATTGGTGGTGTTGGGTAGTCTCCACTCACTCTAGAACATTGGTAGGCGCGTTCATGTCCAGCTTAGCGAATAGCCTTGAAATCATTTTGAACACAGTCCCCCATTCCGTAATTATGAGACTCTATGAGAAGTGATATCGATTTGACCATCCTGGGTGTTTCCATTCCAAACCCGTTCGGGGCGCAAGTTCCGGAGCTGGCGCCGAATGATCCACAAAATCGGCACGGCGTGCAGGTGCTCTACGAAGGTACCTGCCTCCGGGTACCTTTCGCCACTGCGCCTCTTGCCCGGGAAGTCTGCAATTCAATTCTACCTCTCACACCATTCATAACCTTGGACGAAGTTCCTCTATCATAATACACAGTGTATTCATTCTACCTCGGACCATCTTGCTGCACACATTCATCTGTATCATCGTCGTAGGCATCAATATCTTGTCTGCCCATCCCCAAGTGCCCATCACCAATTGGCCCCACGTTAGCTTTAGCAGGCCATCTTCCCTACTTTCTACGCATCACAGCTACTTCGCACACAGCATCCGCGTGCTTTGGCGAAACCCACAATCAACAACACCGAGAGAAACCGCAGAACGACGCGCATTCTACTTAGACAATTCCTACGAACCTGCTATCAATCGAGAAAGTCGCAGACTCAGCCAGCACCAACGCGTCATCATTGCACCAAGTACCAAGTTAAGACATCACCGTTTCCGCACCCATTCCCCGAGTCGCCAGCACCCTCGCCGGCTCACCGCAATGCCTCCTCGTGGTCGCCCTCGTGCGGCCGCGGCCGAATTCGATTCCGAAGTACTTCCCGAAAGACCATCTCCATCGTCCCTCGAGGAGCGCGAACCACCTCCGCCCTTCTTCAACACCACCTTTTCCACCCATCGCGCATCGCCGCTGTACGTCGGCGCCAATACCCTGAGCTTTCCTCGATTACAGGCACTGTCGCAGCGCTTACGCGACACGCTCGTGGGAGACGTTGTCAGAGGTGTACAGGTTGGGCTGGAAGGCAGCGACAGCTCTCTAGGACGCGCCGGCCCGCTGGAAAAAGTTGGAATACGATGGGTTGGCGTTGAAGCTCTACTAGGCGGCGCGGACGATACGGACCCCGACCTGAGCAGGGATCTTAGCAGCGATGGTGTCGAGACCGATGAAACCGTCCGCAAGAAGAGATGCCTTGTATTCGAGATGAGATACGAGAACGCGCTGTGCACAGCTGTGCTGCTACCATCACTTTCTGAAAAGATCACGGAAGAGCCTACTGCCGAACTGCAATCGGCCAATAGCCTCGGTGTGCCTGGGTTGCTTACCAGCAGCGGCACAAAAGATGACAGGCACTTTTTGCATCTACCTCTGCTTCTCCTTCGCATGCCTGCACCTTTGAAATCAGTTATCGTTGACTTTCTGTCAAGCACATTCGACTGCCGGATTAGTTCGTTACGCTTGGGTACGAAAGGCCTGACTACCGCATGGGAACGGTGGATCGAAGATGCCGGTCTCCCCTCACAGGGCCCTCTGGCAAAAGACATGGTCTTGACCCTGGGATTCTACATACCACCCGCAGTGACCTCAGATGGCACTGACGAACAACCCCCAGACGGGCTCGGAATCAAGTCAATCGACATCATCATACCGGCTGAGGAGCTCAAGCGGTTTACAAAGGAAGGGATGACGCTCACGAACCCGACGATTATCAACAGGGCAGGGCTCACTCAAGGCTACCAAGAGGATCCTAGAAAGAGAAAAAAGCTCGCGGGCGGCAAAGCGGACGAAGGATGGGGATGGGTTGACCGCCAAAGGGAGCATGACGAAGCGTTCTTGCATGCTTTGGGTGCCTACTTGGAAAAGCATCTCGCCCTGAATCTCTTCCATCCTGGCGTGAGAGTCACCAAGGTTGCTTGTGGCGGGTTCGTGCTCTCAGAGGGGCGCGTCAAGGTGTTTGTACCACCTGGCGATGATGAAGAGGTTTTTGAACCGGTCAAAAATTTGATCAGCGATCTCATTGCCAGCGCCAACTCCTGATCCATCGAGGCCTCGTCAAATTCGGTACAACTATGAACAGGGCAGACAATCTTGTTGCTGCATCAGTTCCCCTCCCACATACTTGAGAGCAGTCAGACGGACGGAACTTCGACTCAGGACTTTGATTCAGAGCCACGACTACGACTTCCACTCCGTGAGAGCGGATGTAAGATACTCTTTACACCCTTCGACCCTCCAGGGGTGGGATCACCAGGACGGGGAATTACGTGCCCCTTCTGGGAAATAAGGACAATCTACATCAATCTAGAATAATTCCCCGGCTCTATGGCGTGTACCGGTCATCCGAAAAGCTACATGGCACATCAAGTAGCCCGGAGGAATGGTGGAAGGCCTCTCATAAGCGGCAGCAGTGGTGGCCAAGACCTTGGGGTTTCACTCGGTACGCATCGGACAAGGGTGGCCTCTTGCAGCTACCAAGGCTCGCCAAACTCGGATCTCGCAAAGTTCGGATGCTACCTAGGCGCCTCATTTCAGCCGCCCTTAGCAATAGCTAGCAATCTATCTGAAAAGCACGAGGCCACTGCATGACCAGCTCGCTGCCGCTAAGTGCGTCTTGCGATGTTCAAGCCATGACTAGTTCCCTTGGGTAATGTCACTGTCGAATGCCCGCAAGGAACTAACACATTCAGCCGATATCATCCATGCTTATTCCCCGCATTACCAGGAGGAGTGCCTTTTTTCCAGGACGGCTGGTGTCCGCTTCTTACACGATGAATAATACCTTCGGTGCCATTACGGCTTGTCACCACCGAGCTTGGCTTTCCAGAACGGGCTGAGATCCTGGACTTTGCATTTCCGAGTCCCTCATTTGGCCTTGATTCGTGCCCAAATAAGTAATTTGAGTTATTGTTATTGTATAGTGGTAGTTTAAGCAAATGGGCGGTCCTTCATCTAAGGTTAAGCCAAATGTGTTGGCTTGAGAGCCTCCATCTACCCGAAGCACGACTTCCAACTCTATAAAGGCGGCTAGCTAAGACAATGGAATACACCATTCACAGCACCACGGTCCACTCTTTTCCACCTCATCACTCACAATGAAGTTCTCTTCAAGCCTCGTCTGCCTCCTGGCACCCATCACCGTTCTCGCCGCTCCCCTCGAGGAGAGGCAGGCCTCGCAGTCCATCGACAAGCTGATCAAGGCCAAAGGCAAGCAATACTTTGGCACCTGCACCGACCAGAACCGCCTGACTGCCGGCAAGAACGCCGACATCATCAAGGCCAACTTTGGTCAGGTCACGCCGGAGAACTCGATGAAGTGGGACCAGATCGAGCCCAACCGCGGCCAGTTCAACTGGGCCACGCCCGACTACCTCGTCAACTTTGCGCAGCAGAACGGCAAGCTTGTCCGCGGGCATACGCTTGTGTGGCACTCCCAGCTTGCGGGCTGGGTGAATAACGTCCGTGATAAGGCTGGTTTGACGACTGTCATTGAGGACCATATCAAGGCTGTTGTTGGCCGGTACAAGGGCAAGATTTACCACTGGGTGAGTCTATGTCCACCTTCTTCTTCTTTTTCTTCTTCTCTAGGAAACCAACGTTACTGAAACTTGTATGGTCAGGACGTTGTCAATGAGATCTTCAACGAGGACGGCTCCCTCCGTTCCTCCGTCTTCTCGCAGGTCCTCGGCGAGGACTTTGTCGGCATCGCTTTCCGCGCCGCCAGGGCGGCGGACCCCAATGCCAAGCTGTACATCAACGACTACAACCTCGACCAGGCCAGCTACGCCAAGACGCAGGCCATGGCTCGCAAGGTCAAGGAGTGGATCGGCAAGGGCATCCCCATTGACGGTATCGGTACGTGTGAAGCCTGTCCAACACACTCTTCCTTGGTCACCATGCACGAATACTAACGGATTACGCGCCAGGCTCCCAAGCCCATCTCCAAGCTAACCAAGGCGGCAACGCTCTTGGCGCGCTGCAGACCCTCGCCGGCAGTGGCGTCAAGGAGGTTGCCATCACGGAGCTGGACATTGTCGGCGCCAGCGCGGCTGACTACACGGCTGTGACAAAGGCCTGTCTGCAGGTTCCGCAGTGCGTTGGTATCACGGTCTGGGGAGTGCGTGACCCGGACAGCTGGAGGGCGCAGAATAACCCGCTCTTGTTTGATGCCAACTTTAACCCCAAGGCAGCTTATAACGCGGTCGTTACTGCTTTGCAGTAGGTCTTCTGTCTCGATGTGAAGTGAGGCTCGGGTGCTTCTCGGTAATCTGTACGGTTTCTGTCTTCATGTACAAATTGGAACTTTTGGCAACTGTGCCGTATATAGGACTCTGTTATGAACAAATTCAATCTTTGCTTAGGAAGTAACTAGTCATCCGGCTGTGTTGCAACAGGTCAGCTTGGCGAGGAACGTTGGTTAGCCAGGCCATCCAATCAAGACTCTATCAACGTGATTCACCTTGAGATTGTTTGCGCTGAATGCATGGTGGCTTAATATTGCACTCACCCCGCGCAGTTTGCTGGGTTTTCACAGGTAGTCCCCCACACAGAATTGCCAAACAAATCCTTTGAGATTCATCGATAATAGATAGGCTCGAGTAAACGATCCCGAGAGCATCCACAGTGTCTTTGCGCCTATTCTTGTTCAAGTCTCTCCCCCTTTAATCTTGCCTTGATGCTTTCGAATGCTGACGACTGGAACATCGCACACAGGATCGCTACGTGACGGTGTAGATTGAGAGTGATAGCCATTTGCTTCACAACATTCTTTCCTATCTGAGCCTCTACTCAAGAGCTTCTTGCCATATTTCTCGAAGCAATGGAGCCCCTGAACCCGGCCAAAAGGGCTGGATAAGGACCAACCCTCAACGACCTCATTCTAAATGCCGCTGAGTCTACATCTCAATGAATTATAGCCTATGGAGCAGAAGAGACAGTTGGAGATCTCGTGCCGACAGGCGTGCCATATCTAGACTTGCTCTGTCTGGCTCGTGCAAATGCTCAGGTTCTCCTTCGGCTGTGCCCACCATCCGTTGGCATCGGCGGAGAACACCATGTTGATTTGCTGTGCCTCGACAACATCCTGGACACCATCATCTGGTTTTGGTCAACTGTAACCGCAGGGCTATTGCCAGCAATTTCAACCACTTCGATTCTTGAGCCTGGTCGATCAGAGTACCTCTCATTTCTCCGCATCGTCTTGTTGAAGGATCCGCTCTGCATAGTACCTTAGTCGCTTTCAGGCTCATACTGTTTGCAAGACTTTCCCAAGAAGTTACCGGTTGCCGAGACAACTTCTCAAAGTCTTGCTAGGATGAGTCGATCGATGCCGCTGCTACCTTTGCCTGACAGTTCTTCTGCTTCCGAACCGGCGGTTCTGATGCTGACATCAGGTACGACTGGGAGAGCCAAGGCGGTACAACTCAGCCATGATCAAATACTGGCTTCGCTAGAAGGCAAAGCCAAGTCTGCAGGACCACAAAGCGGCGGTCCCTACCTCAACTGGATCGTCAAGGACCACGTATCGTGCCTGACCGAGAATCATCTCCTCGCGATGTACATGGGTTTCTACCAAGTGCATCTCTCCGCGGACGAGGTGCTGTCCAACCCTGTGCAGCTACTGAATATGGTCAGCCGCCACCGGGTTTGGCGAACCTTTGCCCCTCATTCTTTCTTGGCGAAGTTATCCAGGGAGCTCGTGTTGGAACAAACATCGTCGTCGGATGGAGATCTAGATCTTGGATGTCTGCAATGGCTTGACTCGGGTGGGGAAGCAAACACAGTGGATGTCTGCGAGGCATTCCAGACACAACTCGAGAAGTACGGTGCTCGCAAAGACATCATCGTCCTGGGTTTCGGAATGACAGAAACTTGCGCTGGGTGCGTATATAACGCAAATTACCCGACGTATGATCGAGGACAAAATCACCAACATGTTGACGTTGGCAAAGGCGTCCCTGGGCTACAGCTGCGAGTGAGACTCTTAGATGGCAATTCTCCATCTGCATTCGCAAACGCCGGCCAGGTTGGGCTTCTGGAACTCTCCGGCGACGTAGTATTTGACGGCTACTTCAACGATCGCGGCTCTAAAGCGGCCGCCTTCACAAGTGATGGCTGATTTATTACTGGCGATGTTACTTGTGTCAACCACAACGGTGAACTAATCCTCCAGGGACGCTCCAAAGATACGATTATCATCAACGGGGTGAAGTACGCCCCAGACGAGCTGGAACACCATCTCGAGAAAGAGTTGATACAAGGGGCAGTTCCCGGCTCTTTCTGTTGCTTCTCAACTTTACCACAGTCATCTGACACAGAACGAATTGTCGTTGCTTACTTACCATCGGTTGAGGACAATGATACTCGAGCCCGGACCAAGACTCGCAATAGGATAGTCGATATTATCGGCTTACATACGTCTTCATCTGCCATCGTTCTACCCCTAACAGCCGCTGATCTCAAGCCATCGGCACTAGGAAAGCTGCCCAAGAGGTGCGATCAAGTCGGCTTTCGGGAAGGGCACGTACACCCAGCATCTCCGCAAAGCGAGCGAAGCCGACAGAGTAGAATTTGACGTAGCAGAGGAGACAGTTTCTTCTCTTGAGGCACTCATTCCCCACGAAATACAAGAGTATTTCCAAGTCAAGGGGCCACATCTCAGCATCGAAGGATCGGTATTCTGACTCGGCGCTACGTCAATGGACCTCATCAAGATAGCGCGGCTAATCTCGGACCGGCTTCAATTATCAGAAAGACTCACGCTCAGCCAAGTCCTGAGAGATCCGACGCCTCGGCGGCCAGCTATTATAATCGAGGGATCTGAGAGGAAAGATGAAGTCGGCAGCCCGGTCGCTACTCTCCGGTCAAAGAGCAGAAAGATGCCGCTGTGGCTCGTACATCCCGGTGTCGGAGAAATCCCGGTCTTCATGAACCTCATGAGGCTCATCAACGACCGGCCAGTCTATGCCTTCCGTGCGGAGGGTTTCGATAGCGGTGTTTCGCCTTTTGCCTCCTTGGATGAGTTGTTGGATTACTATATTTAAGCACCCCAAAGCCGTCCAAGCAAAGGGGCCGTATGCTATCGCAGGCTACTCGTTCGGCTCAATGATTGCCTTCGAATTATGTAAGAGACTCGAGACAACAGGTGATGAGGTTCTTTACTGCGGTTGCTGAAACCTTCCGCCGCATATAAAGTACCGCATGAGACAGTTCGGCTGGGTAGAGTGTCTCGCCAACTTATTTCACTTCACGAAACTCATCGAACAGGATCAGGCTTTACAGCAGATACTTATGTTACGCACATTCTCAAAGTAAGAAGCAGTCGCCCACCTCCGAGCCCTCAGCGACTCGGATCGTTGGCTTGAGTTAGGCCTCGGCGAAGAGGAGTTTGTCAAGTGGGCAGATTTGGCATCTCCGCTCCAGCATCTGACTCGAGACTACGAGCCACGGGGAACGATACGCAGCATGGATGTATTTGTCGCAGATCCTCTCAAGGAGGTAGCTATTGACCGCAAGGATTGGGTTCTGAATAAGCTCAGCCGGTGGCGAGAGTTTGTGAGCGATGTGCAGTGTTATGATGTTCCGGGTGAACACTATTCTATGTTGGACGAGGTCAACGTGTCGCGGTTTGCGGAAAAGTTGAAAGAGGTCTTGGAGGCACGAGAAGGGCCGCCACGTCGGACCCTTCAGGAAGTTTCTCCTGCAGCTCTTCGGTCCGGACTAAGGTAATGCATAATGCGTGAAGCTGGACACTGTCAATTTCGTGGATGGGAAAGCAGCGGATATGCAACTTGGGTATCTGCGAGTAAATTGCAACACCCGTGTTGGCTTTTCCGCAGCGCTGCGTCAAGAAGTCATAACCTCCGGTTCTTCCAGAGATCCGGCCTCGTAGCCGGCGGGTCTGAGATCCTTTATCAATACCGGCCCGGTTCTGAATCATGCTTCCGGTCCGTCAACGGGTGATAGATTGTCCCCGCGGACTACGTTTCTCCGCGGGAAACTTTATAAAAGAGCTTCCAAAGTTCACACGTCGGAGACAATGTATGTTAAGACCGAAGAAGTATCATAACAATACGCACTAGTTTTTTACTGCCAGAGCGGCGGCTGAAGCTTCCTTCAAACTATATCCAAGAATTATTGTACGTGTTGAGAACGGCTACAGGCCGAAAAACTTCATGTCATCGTCACCCCGGATGGGCACAGTGTGTCCAACGCCAACAGCCCAAATACCCGTCAGGTGATCACCAAACACATCAGTGCGATAGTTGGCAATAGGGGTGTTCTGAGAGGAAGTGACAGGCTTGTCCGGGTTGTATCCAAAGACGCCAGACCACTGCTTGATGGTCTCCTGGTAGTTGGCGTAGTTGAGCGTGGTGTCGGTGCTGCCGTGGTAAATCTGCATGCGGGGGCGGGACCCCGTGTAGCCGGGGTAGGCGTCGTAGACCCATTGGGCCCAGCGTGCCGGCGTGGCAATCGATTGGCCCGAAGAGCAGGTGCTATTCCAGCCGTTGACCGTACCGGTGTAAAAGCAACCGGCTGGGACGCCGTTGTAGACGATGCCAGCGGCGAAGACGTCGGGGTACGTCGCGGCCAGGACGTTCTATTGCGCGATTAGTCACTCGAGCATTGTCTTGTTGAGTTATGGACGTTGACTTACAGTCATCATGGCGCCTGATGAAGAGCCGGTGACAAAGACCTTCGACTTGTTGCCGTTGTACTTGCTGAGAGTGTATGAGACCATGTTGGCGATGGAGTTGCTGTTAGCTCCTCCGTTGTGGGTGAGAGTTGCCTTTGAGGAGACATCCCAGCAGGTTCCCGAGTATGGTGACTCGGGGTAAATGACGATGAAGCCCTTCTGATCTGCGAGTGTCTTGTAGGGGCTGTTGTTGTAGTAGGCTTGAGCGGTACCTGTGCAGTAGTGGATGGCCACAACCACGGGAGGGTTCGCCGCCAGCTTGTCGGGAACATAGATGTACATCTTGACGCCGCTGGGATTTGAGCCAAAGTTCGTGACCTGCTGCAGCGAAGCGGCGCTGGCAGAGGCGACCAGCCCAAGAGCGGAGAGAATTGTGCTGAACTTCATAGCTGCGATGGATTTGCTACAACCAAGTGCGATGCTGATTCAGTGTCTCGAGGACGATCTTGGGCTCGTTCTTGAGCAACTACTTATAGTCCTTGGTAACGGAGTCGAACGAGCGAAGCTGTTGACAGAGCTCCCTGTGACGCATCTGGCAACTTTTGTAGACTTCCCTTCAGCCGCTCGTGCATAGAACCATAGGGGCCGCATGCACTATGTGTAAAACCCGGTGATCTCGTTACCCCACACGTAGGGTAGTGTTGAAAAGGGGGCCATCATCGTCAATTTAGCCGGTTGGCTGGGGGCCGTGCTAGATCCATGTCTCATCCGAAAGCGAAAGGAAACTGGTTCATCTGGAGTTGTCTAAAAAGCTTTTATTCGGCACTTGCCATGGCTTCCGAAAGGGAAACCCGGCTCTTTTGGAAAAGTATGGGTGCCGGTATCCGTTGTCCAAAGTGGCTCTTGCATTGGCCTTCCCGAAGGGGGTGCCTTGCAGCGCGGAGGCTGATGAGCCTTTGGAGGAGGTGTCATGCCGCATTGCTGATCTGTGCGGGTAATTTGACAGGGTGTTTCTACCGGTCATGCCGGGCACGGGTGATGCTCCCGCGACTTAGCATCTGCAGGTTTCTGTTCGGTTGCCGAACAAGCTAGGATCCCACGTCGAAACAGTTGGCGATGAAGAGTGTTGGTGGAGTTTGGACGAAGCTTGAAAGAAGGGGCTCGGCTTGACAGCCCGCTTCATCCCCACAGCGCAAGATAACCTCACCGCAATCTGGGTGAAGAAGCAGTATTATTATCCCGTTAATTCCGGCGAATGGTTGGTTCGGACAATCAGGGTTGCCGCGTTGCCGATCGAGGCTTTGGTTGCTTCCCTTTCTTCCGACAACTCGCACCCGACTTGAATGGTTTTTCTTTCTAGAAACTATTTTGTACAGCGAATAGCTTTTGTTACCTGGTATCTTCATCATAGTACACCGTCGCTATAACCTCGTCAGCCGACACGATCCTCTCATTCCATGCGCTATCACTGAACATCCGGCATCCAGTAAGCTGGCGATCCTTCGAAGTTGGGAAACGTAGCAAAGGCCTGAAGACAATCAGCTCAACATCCTAGTTGAAAACTCTGGAGGAAATCGTGTACCGAAGAGTCTAAGTCCAGCCAATCCGTTGTCTCCCAACCACTGAGGAGGTTCGTCATCCCTTCGAACCCATGCTGCTGGAACACTTCACCCATATCGGCCGGCGGTGCTGGAGCGCCCGAAACCTCTTCCAATTGCATCGGCTCCGCACCTCCATGCTCAGCACGCTCAATGGTCGGCTTCCTCTCACGGCCTGAAGGGCCTTCGGAATGAGAACTAGCCTCTTGCCGAAGCTCTTCGAGAATGACAGAGTATCTGCGGCTTGGGCTCTCGGCAGTCGTTGCTTTCGCCAGGTGATTCTGGCAGCGATCTGCCAGCTCAAAGAGGCCCCTTTCCGGGTCCTGTCTCCCTCTTTGAATTTCATAGACGTACACCACCGCGAGTGCACAAAAGGTGACGTACGGCGTCCACCAGAAAGCGTGGAATAATTTCCCGTCACTAGCCATGCCGTCGACCGTCTCAAGTGCGGCCTTGGCTGCAGTGATGCATTCATCAATACTATCTTCTAGAGGCGATTGCTGACCACCTCTCGAGCCACCCGTTCCAAGAAGAAAGGGTCGGTTGGCGTGCATAATGGCGTGGCAATATGCCAGCTTGAGGGCTGTGTTCTGTCTTCTGAATGACGGAATTAAGGACATGGGTCGAACGGTACCCAAATGGTGTGGCAAGGACTCGCGCCACCGGTGTAGAGCCTTGCCGTATCGATGTGCAATCATGAGACGGTCATCTTTATGAACGGGTTTAATCGAGTACACCTCGCGAGAGATACCGTCAATGATTTGAGCGAGTTTGGCGTGGAAGATGAGACTCTCAACATGGCAATCCATCTCTGGCTCGTCACTTGATTTTCCTTGGGGTGTCATGTCCTCATCGTTGACGCAGTCAGGGAAGTCCTGATCGATATCGTCGTCGCGGTACATCCTCGGCCGACCAAATACAACAGAGAGATACTTGTCGATGGTGTATGCCACCCAGAAAGTCCTCTTCCGGCACTGCGACAGTATGTAGTCCTTGTCGCTGCTGGCCCTGTTGCGTCCGGACTTCCGATGTAGACCCAAAGCCGAGATGATGGGGAGAATGCTCCCAAAGACATACCATGCTTGATTCATGCGAGATGTTTGGAGGAGATACAACACCTGCAAGAGGCGTGCCTGCGAGGACTCTAGCTTCGGCAACCCGATCTCCGCATCCGTTAAACTCAAAGCGTGAGAAAAGAGAGCGTCGCTGCGCAGAAGGTGAGAAAACCTTTCTTCGTCGACATTTCGGACCTTGCTTTGTCGGAGGGTGACGATAGCGAGAATGGTCAAAACGATAGAGGCTTTGGCGTGGCCAATTTCGTGGTGCAGCGGACGGCTGTCTTTCGCATTTGCGAGCAGAATCTCGAACCACTGGGCGACGTAACCTTGATGAAGGCATCGATAGGTTACTACGCAAACATCAAAGTAGAAATCCAGCATGTCCAAGCCGGCCAACCGGTCAGGAAGAGTCGATACGTCCAACGGCTGCGAATCGAAAGGCTTGTCTCCTGCCCTCGTCAGCCTCTGATGCTGTTCGGCGCCGCTCGGTGCGTTTCCAGGAACGTCAGTAGTATTAGATCTCTGCGACGAAAGGCGCTTCCATGCTCGGTGCAGGAATGTTAGACTCGAAGTGGTGTCAACATACTGCCCTTCGATCTCGGCAATCTCGACTTCTGGCGAGGCGCGTGAGCCTGGCAGAGCGCTGCGCCGGCTGCGCTCTGCAGCCTCTGCCTCGTCGGCTACATGATCACGGCTTCTCGACCGAGCCGCACTCTGGCGGGGAAGACGTGGTTCACGCGGTGCTAGGGATGGGAGAGGCGCCGCCGAGGGAAGCGGTCTTCTGTGAATGGTTAACTACCACTTTAACCATCATCGAACACTACGTGTTCTTACAAAGACATACCTGTGTACCTCTAGGGAAGTTGAGGGGACCAGTCGGGATTCAAATAACCCGGGGGCAGAACTGGATGCTGGCGGAGGTGTCGGCGGTCTACCTCGGCGGTAAGTAGCGTCGTAGATGCAGGAGAGACGTTTCCGGGTGCAGACGTCGCATGGGATCGTTCCGGAGCATTTCAGCTTCTTGGATTTGCAAAAGTCGCATGCGCGACTGACTTTGTGACTTCTTCGCCGATTAGCGGCGGCAGTGGCGGCGGCGGCAGCAGCAGCCGATGACGAACGGCCCTCTTCGGGGCCCTCGGGCGAACCCTCGGGCAAGCTGCGTTTCCTCCGATCGGTAATAGTCGGCGGCAGAGTTGACGGGGACGGCTGTGATATATTTGACGAAGGTGTCGGGGCGGATGTTGTTAGAGGGGCATCATCGCGGATACCAGTGTCGGTGCTCGCCGTTGTTTCCGCTGGTGTGTCGGCCATCCTACCACCATCCATGAATATCCGACCCTCCGATGCGTTTGCTGATGGTCTCCACTGACTCAAGTCCGATTCTCCGGACTACCACGTCGGTTCCAGCACCCACAACGGCTCCTACACCGGGTTCAG